CCTCGTACGAGACTCGAATGCATGTGAAGAAAGAGAGAGAAAAGGGATGTGATATATCGCGAAAGTTTTCAGTGACTCGCGTGTAATAATTGCGCCGATCACTGCGGGCCTCTCTCGTTTGACGAAAAAAGTTTCATCTCAAGCGCGTAATTCCTAGTAGATATGTTTATTATCAATAGTGGCCTAATGAATATAAATTGCCATTTAAAATGTTTTGAAATATATTAAAATTAATTGACTTGTAGGAATAATAAGTTGTTACTGATCCGAACAGCACAGTTCTGGAAATGTAGATGAGTTTTAAGCACTTTAAATACGAGAATACAACCTCAAGCCTCTGCCGCTAGATGGCGAGTCCCTTTAAATCTGTAAATCTACAAATGGCAAAGTCAAAATAATTGTATAACTTAAAACGTGTTTTCAAACTGATTGAAGTTTCTTAATTCCTATTTTTAAACTCGATTCAGTTCGTTTGATCAGGGAAACAAGCTCGAGTAGTATGTAATTGCTGCAGTTCCTCGATTGCACGATTACAGTGAGTCATAACATAAACAGTTATTACAGCCAACGAGCAAATCGGCAGGCAGCGGCTCAATCTACCCCCTTTACATCGAACCTGCGCTTACACAAAGATTCGTCAATACCTATATGATATGATGTTTTCAACTCGAAAACAGTCGTATCAATTTCCAAATATGTATCAATATTTCGGAAGAAAGAAAATACCTATCCGTACGATGTGTGTGCCATTATGGGTTCCTCGGGCACGTGTTCAAAGTTTCACCCCATAAAGGTCGGGTGCTAGTATAGACGAACAGGAAAAAGGAGCGATCGATGACTGTATATATGTAAGGCCAGGAAAAAGGTACGTATATGAAGCTCTGACTCAAGGCTCACGACACAGGAGTCGAGGTATAAAATTGAAGATTTCCAAAGCTCGCAATATGTCGGCGCGCTGTTTGTCATTATAATACAGGCACACATATGCAAGCAGGGCAGCACGGGCTCGATTATCCAAGGTCCGCTAAAAGTCCTCGCCGCCAGCCGCGGCTGCATCGACCCCATCGGTTCGTACGTTTGTTATATACCTACGTACGCGCAATATGTGCACGCCGTTGCACACACACACACACACACGCACCTATATATCGTGTATGCTAGTATAATGTACGAACGCTCGTTGGCTCGGAGGCACGCGCGCGCGCCCGACGCCAGCTGCCCTACAGCTGTCTCTCTTTATGACTACACGTACGAGTAAGTAGTATAAGAGTGCGGAGACTTTCGCTCGTCGATGTTCTCTCTCTGGAGCTGCCTATGTATAAATGTGCGCGCACGTGTCCCATTTCCACTGCTGCTGCAGTGCACGCGCGGCGCGAGCGTTACATGGCGTGCAACCGTATGAGCCGCCACAGGACGACGACGACGACGATGAAAAATGCAAGCTTACACGGAGCTGCCACCACCACCGCCGCCACCAATAATATATTTACCGAGCTTCGAGCTGTCTCGTTGCTGGTGTATATGTAACCGGAAAAATCTATATAGGCTCGCGCGCAAATATTATATGGAGCATTATTCGATCGTATACACAGGCGAATCGATCGATCGATCGAATTATTATTATTATTCGCCGCATCCTCTCGACGCGTACGTGTCAGCTGACGAAGGCTCGGATAGCTATAACTTATAATAGGAAGCAGCAGATCCTCGAGTAGTTGCTCCTCCCACGAGACGAATGAAGGACTGCTATATGTATATAGGGTTGAGTAGCAGCAGCAGCTAGTCAGTCGAGTGCTTAACTTAATTAAGTATCTCGAATGTGTTTACGCACTTCGTCTGGCCTAATATAATACAACTCGGTAGCAGCGGCGGTAGCGAAGCAAATGTATATAATGTTAATCGTCGCTCCGAGAGAGAGAGAGAAAACGGCCGAGCACTCGAGCTTGGCATATGTATTATAGCCGGGCCACGCGCTCAGGTAAACGTATAAAGGCAGGCCCTCGCGTCGGATCGCGTTGCGGCACGCGCGCGCCCAAGCCGCTGCTACCCATTACAGCCAATACATTATAAATATACGTGTGAGTTAAAACGCGAAGATGGATTTGGGGAAAAGTAAATGACCATGTTCTCGCTTTAATAGTGGCCACGCGTGCGGCCAACACACCTACGAACACCTCTGTACCTACATACACTTTTATGATAGATCGGAGAAAGAGAGAGAGAGAGAACAACGCGACATTGTTTGCTACGAAATTCGGAGCTGTCCAGCGAGAGAGAGTGAGAGTGCAGTATGCGAAGAGATCGAGATACTTTTATAGAAGAAACGAAAGCGGAGAGATAATTTAATATTTTTCCAGTATCCAGCGTGTGTGTATGGAAGCACATACTCACGCGTGAACGATCGTTCCCCCTTTTTTTTATTCCTTTAACCGAGCGAGCATCGAGTCACACCGATCGATATTACACGAGACGCATATATACTCGAACGTGTAAACGTGTGTGCGAGCTTGTGGTGTATTAATACACACGTGCGTGTATACAATTCAACAGGAGTCGTTTCGCGTACGTACAGAGAGATTTTCTCGAAATTAAATGGATGCGAGCTTGATTCTGCGCGTCGCAGAAAAGGATGAGTCGAGTACGTCTGCTCCGAATACGAGACTCTGACTTATACTCTATGATGAACTGCAGGCGCGTGTTGACGCTCGATCGATTTTCAAATTCAGTATATTTTCTGCAAAAATCTTTCCGATGTGTATCGCCCCGCGTTGCCATTGACGTCGACTCTGTGTGCGCTATTTGTTCGGTATATATGGGTACATCAATGTCAATCCTTTTAAACGGCTACCCCTCGTCCGTATTGCGATCGACAACTTACAGTATTTTATTTCATCGGCGTATATACCATAAGATCGATATTATGCGAACGTAGAGGTACGAGCTCGAGCGCAGGTGTTCATCCATTGTATATGCATATATGTAGAGAAATTAAAAAAGTTACACCTATAACAATTTTTCTCGGGAAAACGCGAGCCCAATGATCGCCTCGCAATACGCGTGGATTTTCGACTTAATTTGACTGATTATAATATACGATCTAGTGCATTTGAATTACATAAACTCTTTCGAGAGCCTAATACGGAGCCGGCCAAATAATAAAAATAAATAAGTCGCAGTATCTTTGCTCGAAAGAAGATCAACTCTAAAAAATGGATCACCAAAGATCTGAATCTGAGCTTATTTTCTCCGTCTTTGAAAATCCGAATCGACTTTTATTTTTTTCCAACTCACTCGTGCGATCTCTATTTTTTTTCTTTTCTCTCTCATTACGCATGGCATCGATGCGCGAGAAAGAGCGAGAGAAAGAAAGATGAAAAGTGCACATACGCCTTGGGACGATTTATATTAATATTATAATAATAATAACTGCGTGTACGTATGTTGGGATTGGAAGGCGTCTCGCATAGCTACATAACATGTACCCAGGGATTTTGGTGAACGCATCTGTTCCCGAGACCCGAAGCTATTGCATTCGCGAGAGAGAGAGAGAAGAGACTTTAATAGACGTATAATATACTCGGCGGCTCACTCTCACGATCATTTTTTATGTACGCGAGATGCTGCGATTTGACTAGGCACAGTGTGAGAGACTGAGAAGCAAAATCAACACACAGTTTTTCGAAAAATCACGCGAGTATTCCTTCGAGGAAACTCCAATTACAAAGATAAGCCTCGAGTATGTCTTGCGGGAGGAATATACTTCCATCGATTGGGAAACGAAAAAAAACTCGAGATGCGCTAAGGAGATGAATTTAAGATGTACTGTAGACGAATCGTTTTACGTGTATAATTTCGAATTCATTTCTTCGATGAGCTACCTCTGCGCGCAAAGAGACGATCGAGGAAAATAGCTTCCTCTCCGAGAAGTCGCTCTCTGCTCCTCTTTTCATGGCAGAGAGAGAGAGAGAGCAAATTCAATAGAGACGACCATGTGTGTTGGCCGGCGAACGAGAGAGAGTGACCTCGTCGACTCTGTAATAATGTAACGCAACAATGAGAGAGAGAGCAGCCCTCCGCCGACTAAATATATACATGCGTACCGGACAGGAACTCGCTCGTTGTGCCTTGTGTGTTGGCTTTACAGAAAACAAAAAATTTTTTTTAATAATACCAGAAGAAGAAGAAAAAAAGATGAGGAGCTGCTGCTGCTGCGTGCGGATATATAAATATAAAAAGATCGCGCGGCGCAAAGACGACGACGAGCCGATGGAAATAGGACGGGGCTTTCTTTTGCTCTTGCCTCGCTGTTTCAGTATTTTTTTTTTTTTTTTCTGTCGAAAATCTCGGAGCGAGAGCGCAAAAATATATTAGGCTAAAATAGGAGAGAGACGAGCGAGTGAGCGAGAGAGGAGAGTTCATTGGCCGCTAGGCCCGAGACGCTTTGTGCGTATGTCTATTAATGCCCGCAACCAACTTGGTCGTTGCCGCACAGAGAAATAGCTGTTGCTGTCAAGTCCTCGAAAAAAGAAGTGTGCAACAAAAAAAAAAGAGAGCTCGATGCTAACTGCAGCAAAGTATATATGCAGGAGATGCCATGCATAGAGAAGTCGCGGCTCGCTACGATATAACACATGCGGCATGACGCGCGCGGCGCATGTGTTCATTGTGTACCCGCCGCACTCATGCTTATACTTTACGCGCGCAGCTCGGTATAGAGTCGGAGCAGCAACAGCAGCAGCAGCAGCATCGAAACTCAAAAGTCTGCGAAAAGCGGCAAGCGGCACCAATGCGAGAGTAGCTCTGCACCGCCGATCGGAGCGCACGCGCTGCCTATAGCCGTAGCCGCCGCCGCCGCGCGAGGGCTCGCTTCGGAGCTTGCTTCCCCCCCTCCCTATACCGCTCTATATACGATGCTCCGTACACGATACATGTTAACGCGGCTGCTGCTGCTTCTTGGCTTTGGCTGCTGCGCTGCGCTTCATTCACACGTGTAGTGCCGACGGGTCAGGACGTGCGCGCGCCCGAACAAACGTCACTCCATTCGCCTGCACAGTCTTGCTCTTTTTTTTTTGGGCATTTTGTCAAACACGACTTTTAATCCGCTCCGAGTTTTTACTCGGTACAGACTTTGGTCTCTTGTCATCCGTCCGGAAGTGTGTTCCGTCCGTACTTGCACCCTGCAATAATAAAGTGATTACATTATACCAAAAGTGCATTTTTTTCGTCGATACTTCGACAAAGAAAAATAAGAAAAAGAAAACGTCGCTTGTGTGGTTCTTGTGTATTGATACATATACGGAGTAAGTGCACTGCACGTACAGACGAAAAAGAGGCCCCGAGTTTTTCGAGCTCTTCGCCAGCCACACGCATATAAAAGTACAGCAGCAGCAGCAGTAATATAACAACAGCAGTCGACCGACGCAGCTCTCTCATAAATACACACACGGAGGTTGTGTGTTGTGTGCTGTGCTGTGTGCTGCGTTGGCCTGGCCATATAGCTCGAGCGAGACAGAAACAGCTGCTTCCGGTGAGTTTGTGTTGGTTTGCGCCTCTTCTCCGACGTTATACTTACATGCATTGCCACCATATATATACACGTATATATAGAGTAACACATGCATTTATGCGTATATGTTATATACAACGCGAGCCGCTCTCGGCTCGTGGAAGAAATTCTCAAAATGCTCCTCTATATCTAAGAAGCTCCGGTCTCTGCTCTACTATGTTTACGCGTGTGTGCATATGCCGCCAGCCGATGATGCACGAAGATGGCTCGCGCGTAATTCTTCTCTCTTTCTCCTAATTTTCTATGTAATACCGATTATACGCCATCCATATTTATAGATAATTTCGTGGAGACCTTTTATTACGAATATAAATACAATATATCGCGTTACCCAAGAATAACTTCTTGTCTCTTGTCGTGCACGCGCGCGCGCATGTGTATGTATAGAAGGCGACAGATAAAAAGTATATAGCTGCGATCGCACATCGTGAGCAAGCTCCCTACCCCACTGCTATGTATGCGCGGTTCTTTTCCTCGAGACTTTACCGGCGCGCGCGACTATAATACACTACACAACACATACACACACACATGAATCATGGTCTTTTAAAATACGTTTACAAGCGCCATTTAAAAGCTCTCCGTTCCGGAGCGAGCGAGTAAACAACCTCTCCTCCTCGTCGTGGCGAAAAAGCCAAGTGAAAAACTTTTGTTTAGCTCTCGCGCGCGCGCGAAAAAGCTCGAGCGCGTCCTCGATTCGACAAGGGGGTTTATGAATGAAAAAAAGAAAAGATAAAAAAACGCACAACAACAAAAGCGATCTACTTTTCCGCCGCATATTGCATTAAATGGAGAGCTACTGCATATATACGCGGCGTGCATCGATGGGCACGTGTTCGTTGATTCGTTCGTACGCTGCCTACATAAGACGCAAGTCGCGCTGGTTAGTCTGTTTTATTAATAAACTTTGCCCGCCTATGCGGTACAGTATAGCATAGCGCTCACCCGCCGAGAGTGCGAGAGCTTTGCCATGCTATATATACATACAAAACTGTGTGGCATATATGCAGTGAGACGAATTTCTAGAAGGAATATATCAGCGAGCGCGCGCCCATACGTTAAAACTCGCGCGCGATGGGGCTCATCAAAAGTCTGAGAAACGGATGAACGCGTCGCCGAGCTAGCTAGCTAGCTGCTGCTCCCTGTGCAGCCACACGCTCGTGCGCTGCTGCTGTTCCCCCCTTCGAGTTGGTCCTTTTAAACGTGTGTATACATACGGCACGCATACATGTACAGGCCTGTTATACATACAGTGCCGACATGTTATATAGCTGCAGCTTTACACTTTGAATTTTTGTATAAAATGAAAAGATGCCGTTAGAATCCTAACTCTCTCTCTCTCTCGAGAGAGAGAGTGAGTAAAAGAGCTGCGATAAGACGACGCGACGCCTTTTTTACGACAAAAAATTATGCGTGCGTATGTATACACCTAAGTACGGACCGTGTGTGTTGTTTTTTTTTATTCTTTCTTTAATGAATTGGCTCGATGCTAATGAGCAAACGAACCTCGCTCGCGCGCGGCGACGAAACATTTGCACAGCTTTGTAAACTTTGGAAAGCCACGAATGATAATAAAATATCATTTGCCTTGGGACTTTTCGGTGCTGAGCCTCGATATGTTTTTTTTTTATTGTAATACACTCACGAGTGAGCGCATCGCACGTAGCTTCGATCGTTGATACACCACGGAGCCAAACACAATAACAGTCGAGTACGACGTGTCTTTTTTTATTCATTTTTCTCTCGCTATCTCGGATCACAGCTCGCACGCATCATAGTTTTATTGAGTTTCCAAAAAAATGCCCAATCGAGCATCGATCATCCTCTTCATCTAGCTCACAGATCGGAGACATATGCGTAAAAAAGTGAATGTCATGTAATTCTGTACAGAGGTCGAAATTCTAAGCGTCATGTATTATTCAAATATATCTTAAGTGTATCTGAGAGCCGATCTGATGCTCTTGTGAATTGCTCTATCAGCCTCGAGCGATATCTTTCCTCTCTCGGTGTGTTGTGTGCAGCTTGTCATCGCACGTATTGTAACTCCGAAAAATCTAACGGTCCCGGCCGGGCTTAGATCCTCATACGTACCTTGCTATTTTATTATTATAATCTCGCGTCCTCTCTTTCTCTCTTCTGTCTACACTCTTGTGTTTGTGCGCGTCTGCAACAAAAAACTCGCCTCGCGTATAAAAGTGTATATAAATTCGCAGCAACTCTTGCATCGGGGTGCAAAAAAGTAAAATACAAAAAAAATAAGCAAAGTAGCAGCAGCAGCAGCAGCAGCGTCTCTTTACATGTGTTGTAACGGGGCCCGAGAAATACGAGTTTTGCAAAGTCTCTTTTAGCTTGACGTATACAATAGATCGCACGTCGAGCGCACCGGTTTTTCGCCGCTCGCTCGTCTGTGTGCAGCAGCAGCGGCAGAGTACGTGTTGTAGCCCGCAGCTGCTGCTGTTGCTGCTGCTGCTGCTGCTGCTGCTGCTATACGTTAGGGGAGCCGCGTGCTCGACGACGACGACGATGACGACTATATGCCAATGCCGCCGTGTGTATGTATACTCGGCGGGGTGCGTTTTTCGCTCGGTACTAGTGGTGGTGGAGCTGCTGCTCGAGGTGGTGGTGGTGGATTGCCTATTGTGTATTATGGGTGCTCTCCTGCGCTCGGCTCGGCGCTCTCTGCGACGACGACAGAGAGAAAGAGAGAGAGAGAGAAAAGACAAACCGAACTGTATACCGAGCGCGTCGTGTGCCGTATGTACATCGTTCCGCGGCAGTCGAGCGTCGAACGAGCCTCGAGGAGGTTCCGTACTCATCGCTTCTAATACAAACGCGTACTTACTCTCGGTTTCGGAATTTCGCGCCTGTGCATGTGTATGTGTGAGTGTGTAGTTTAATCGTGTGATTACATACATCTGTGTTACGTGGTTATTCGTTTGTTTTTATTCTCGAGTGCCTCTCAAGCGACGCCGCGCACCCGATGCTGCGAGCTGATAATAGCGATCGCCCAATTTCTCATCGAAATCTGCTCGACGCTAATAGTCAACATTAATAAAGGTTCGGCCTTTTTTTTATTTTCAACGTGTGCAACAAAAATTCTAGAATGCTTCTAACGAAAGAAATTGCCAGTGCGATTTAGACAAATTTTCAACATTTTGCACATAAATATCGTCGATGATCGTTTCTCCCCATGCGTTTACCTCCGAAATAACAATAGCATTCCTCAATCACATTCACAATGCCCTCGCACTGCCGCAGCTCTCGTGTACGTAGTAATAGATTAGTTATGAGCCCGGAGAAAGAGAAAAAGAAAGAGAGAGAGAGAGGGAGGGAGAGAAAGAAAAAAAGTGAGTCACAGTAATCCTCACATTGTGTACATATGGCATGGGACGCACACTTACACACGCATAACGCACGAGCACAATGCGATCGAAAAATAAAAGGAGAGCAGACGACGATGACGGTTTTTCCATCATCGTCGTCGTCGTAGCGAGGCGTATTAATATATGGACGAACGTAAAACTCACGATATTAGCTGGGATATTTTTTTTCTCGGAAAAGGTGGCAGGGAAAAACAATATATTAAAAATATGAGGCCGTGAATACAGCTTGCGCCTATGCCTACAGCTGCTCCTGCGTTATCATAATATATTATATTGCTTAATGAGTATAAGAGGGGATGAGGGGCCGGGTGGGTAAGAGAGAGAAAGAAAGAGAGGATCTTGGGGCCCCCTGCGAGATGTTGGCCAGATACACGCACCCCAGCACGAGCGACGCTCCCCCCCACATCCCACACTTCCTTATAGGTACGCGCACACACACGTACGCACACATTAACGCACGCTTGCGCGAATTCGCGCAAAGCCCAAAGGGCACAAAGTATATGCCCCTCCTGCGTTCTCCGCTCGCTTTCGTGTGCGTGCCTTATAGGCTATACATATATGTGTTACGAGGGAAAATTTTGGCCTTCGCGCCGCGAATGACGTTGACCCCTCGCCTCGGATTTCCGATATATTTATGCGTGTGCGGCTGCTTGTGGGTCAGAAGGAGCGAACTCGAGCTTTTATTCGGGGGAGGATCGATACGATTTACGACAAATAGACGATGACTATACAGAGGCGAGAGAAAACTCGAATTTTCTTCGAAATAACTCTCTGGCCTAGTATTATAGTCTTCTTCTCCTTGTATGTGCGTACTTTTGCCGAGTTGAGATACTCGATACACGTCGAAAGGGGGACGATGAAAAGTGCCGCTGTTGCCTTGGCTAAGGGGTGAAAGCTGCGTGACTAAAGCGGTGTAGCGCGTAGCTTCCTTTGCGAAGGGTGAATCGGCGCACGAGAGAGGGTAAAATCAGATGTTGCCTTCGGCTTGTGAGCGATATGTAGGACGCGCGCTATCTCTCTCGCTTGTATTACAAAACTGTCTCTCATTTTCTCCAAGATATCCTGCACATAGCTAACTGAGCGTCTTATTTTCATCATTTGCAGATTCACGACTCGCAAGCTGCAGCGCACCACCCGTGAATTCGTCCTCGCTGCGTGTCCCTCAAAGTCGCAACCACGTTGCCAGCAACGCTAGCCTCGGCAGCTGAGCTGGAAGCTGCCAACCAGCAACGAGTCGCCTGTCTAGCCGCAGCTCTGTACCCGGGTAATTTAGCGGCGGCCGCGGCGGCAGCGGCTCCTGCACAGGCGGTAGCGGCGGCGGCAGCAGCAGCGGCGGCGGTAGCTGCTCAACAGCAGCAGCAGCAGCAGCAGCAGTCCAGCACGGCCAACCAGAACGGGCACCAGCAGCAGCTAGCTGCGGCCCGTGCCAACGCCACAGAAATTAGTAGCGAACTACTGAGGATGCTGATGCCCGGAGCAGCGGGTCTCGCGGGCCCCGGGGGCGTACCCGGCGCGGGAGCCGGGCCCAATCACAACGACCTGATGGCCGGACTGGGCGCCGTGGCGGGCGACACGCCCCAGCCCAAGGACACCACCTGGACCAAGCTCTTCGTCGGCGGCCTGCCGTATCACACGACCGACAAGAGTCTGCGCGAGCACTTCACCGTCTACGGCGACATCGAGGAAGCCGTCGTCATCACGGACAGACAGACCGGCAAGAGCCGTGGTTATGGTTTCGTACGTATCTACTGCTACTTGATTTGATTTATTTTTGTTTTTTTTTTGCTTTTCTTTTTTTTAACATCGGTTGCCAGAGTTTTGAGTGCCGCGTGTTTTGGACATATAGATTTTCTTATATGTGGGTATTGACATTACATACATTGCTTTCGATTTGTTGATGCGAGATTTTTGTACTGTTGGCGGGGGTAAAGTTTTTTTTTGAACTTTTCTCTTAATTATAATTGACATATTATATTTTCACGCTCTCACTCCTTTTGAAGCATTCTATAATTACAACAAATGAGTATATAACAAAAAATTGTATTGTATTATTAACGGTCTCTCACCGCAGCAGCATGCGTACAAGTAGTTTGTTGAAAAATATCTAATAACTCTTTTTTCGCCGTCGAAACGAACGTATTATGAATAAAAACCTGCCTCATTACACATGTGTGTACCGTGTACTTGCCGAGTCGAAGAGAAACAGGTCTTATCGGTGGACACGCGTGATAATACGTACGTACGTATATTGAAATTTAGTTTCCTTCGGCGGCGGGTTTATCGTTCGCCTCGCTACTTGACTTGAGAACGTGAGAACGAATTCGCTATCTGTTCCTTTTTTTTTTGCGCGCGATTATGTTATTACTTATGTGCAGACACACATCTCTTTCTCGTTTATCGCGTATAAGTGCAGTTACATTGGTAGAAATGATAGAAAAAAAGAGAAGCAAAAAAGCAAATGAATAATATAAATGAGTAATAATAAAAGTAAATGAATAGTAATAAAAAAAAAACGCATGTGCCTTCTGTCTCTATAGAAGTGTGTTAAGATTTTTTTGTGTTTTTTTGTCCTTTTTCTCTGTATGCCGCCCTGTGTGTCGTATAGGTCATCATGGGTGACAGGCCCGCCGCGGAGCGCGCCTGCAAGGATGCGAATCCGATAATCGACGGCAGAAAGGCCAACGTCAATCTGGCCATACTTGGCGCCAAGCCAAGGGGCAATCTACAAGCCGGTGAGTCGTCGCTCATACGTACGTGAACAAACAACCTTTTTTCAATTAATATCTATTAATTAATCTTAAGCCTGAAAATTCGGAACTTGAGGTGCTGTATGTGCGAGCTTCATTAATTTTCTCGAGCGCTTCAGGTTCCGAGTTCTCATGTGTGCGTGTTGTCTTAATTTTAATATATACTGCTGCGATTTTGAATTTGCATGTGACTTATCACTAACATAATATATATTCTACGTGTTGTTGCCGCCTTTCGTTTCTTGACCTAATAAAAATTTTTTTTTTAGTCTATCGGTGTATAATCCACGGTACATACTAACGAGTCGATCGCAATATTATTATTGTTTTTTTTACGAGCTATAATAACGAAACGAGGCCTTATCAAACTCTTACATAGAGAATGTGTACGTGTACGCGTGCCGCAGATGCTTTAATAAAACGAGTGGAGCCAATTCTTTTTGGGTGTGACTTTCCGCGTGTGTATGTGTGTATAATACGCGTGAGTGTGTGGTTTTTCCTCATTATTTTACATAGCAAACGCATGTTTGTGTATGACGCTTTGATAAATCGCCGGGTCGCGTCGTTTAATATTTCGACGTGGACTTGTACGTGTGTGTCTCGTCTTCTTGCTCGTGTGCATTTCTCTCTCTACTCGTGTACAACGCACTTTGATCTCTTTCTCTCTTCTTCGCTGCGCGCATATAACTGCTGCTCTCGTGCTCGCGTGCTGGCGGCCACCGCGTTTCTCTTTCGGGTGAAGTTTATTTTTGCATCTTATCTATTGCGATGATACTTGCCTCTTTCTCTCTTGCACGCGAACGCTTCTACTTCTTCTTGCAACGTTGACGCGACGCCAAAATCAGCTTTGAGAGACCAGCCGCGGTCACGTGGAATATCATCATCTCTCTTCTCGCGTTGCAACGCGGAAGTTGCAGAAAGAGAAAACGATCGTATATTACGCTCGTAGACCGATATTTTTCATCCTTCAACTGGACTAATATTTGAAATTTGCGCTTCATTTAACTCGATATAGATCGGCCGGTCGTTAAATTAAGAAAAGAAAACTTTTTTGTCCACGCAACTGTCCGATGCTTTACTACGTACACTTACATGTGCGTGAATTTGCGCGCACACGCACTTATGGCCACGCGCCAAGTCACGCCGAGACTTTGCTTTTTGTGCTTTTACTTGCGTGCAACGTGCGTCGTGCTGCCCTTATACGAGTCTAAAATTGTGCCTGCGTGCGACGCACTTAGAGTATGTGTACAGTAATTTAATGGCCCTCTCCCTTTTTTTCCGCCGCACCAAGAGACAAAGTTTATACTTACTCTTTGTGGCCTTCGTGCTTGCGCGCGCGACTCGATTTTTTTTTATTTCCTGTGTGTGGACAACACAACCCCACAGAGAGAAAGAGAGAGAGAAAGAGAGAGAGAGAAAGAAGTGTTCGCGCTTGAAGTTGGCGTTATTTTGCAGAGCGATTATTAATACGATTAACAAAAACAAATCCTGACGCCGTATGAGTGCGTGATTGACGTTGTTAATTTTTGTTTTTTCTCTTTTTTCACTTGCAGCGTTCCCCTTCTCGGCTGGAATACGCGCCGGCTACCCCGCAGTTTTACCAGGACAGTATGGGTAAGTTCGCTTTCTTGTGACGAAACTAAGCTACATAATTATTTAACGTTTACTTATGATCGTAAACATTACAAAATTAAGATCCTCACCATCCATTCATCCATGAATAAGTCTCATAAATTTTTATTTCTTTTCAAATTTTTTTTCATTTCTTTCAATCTTCTGTTATCTGTCCTTTATTTATATAGATCTGATAATGTTAATTTTTAATTATGAAAAAAAAATTGATTATTATATAAATGTACACATGTTTTAAGTTGTAAAACATCTGTGACGTTTGCAGCATCCTGAAACGCAACTGTAATTTTGGGAGCCGCGTGTCCTGAACGAAAAGCTCTCCTTCGCGTTGAGATCGATCGATTATAGACAAACAAACGAACGAACAAAAAAAGAAACACAAGTGTGAACTGCTCTCATCGAGCCAGTAGAGCTCTCGTCGTTATGTTAAATGCGATATAACACGAGAGAGACAGAGTGTCAGGGAATATGTCGCGGCACACGCACACGTATAACGAAGCCAAGAAGTACCTTTACCATGAAAAACGTACGATATATTTTCTCCATTTTATAATTCCGTATTTTATTGCCTTTTTTCTGTTATTGCAATTTCGTTTACACGTTACTTGTTTTTTTTTTTAATTTTTTTTTAAATTTAATAATAATAGTTGTGAGGATCGTGATTCGAAGACATTTTTTTATTTTGGTTGTGTTTTTTTTACTCATTGATATTTATTAATTGCTCTGGTGATTGTTGATTATATCTATCTTTACGATAATAATTGATTTTGATTGCCATTGTTGAGAGATTTGGTTTGACTTATTATTTTTTTTGTTTCACCTTCATTTTTCACGTTTTACTTTTTACATAACTCGATCTGTTTTTTTTTCTGTTTACTTCTTGTTTACTTTGGGTTTGAATCGATGTTAAACAATGACAAAAGGAAAATTCTGACGCAGAGTTGAGCTCTTTTACTTTTTTGATAATCTATTAATCAACTCTTTAATGGTTATGGATTAACGTCAGCAATAACAATTACAAATTAATTAACCAAACACACAAAAGGTTCATAGAGGTATAGTGAGAAATATCCATGCACATCCTTCAGATTCTCGTGTACACACGCTTTGCTTTGTCAAAGTTTCAATGAGGCATCACAAAGAAGTAGTTCTTTCTTTCCTAATCTCTCTCTCTTTCGCTCTTTCTCACTCTCGATTAATAACTTTTTTTTTAGAAAAACCACACTTGACAAAACAAGAATGAGAAAGCTCGCGGCGGAGGTATACGCGCCGTGCGCGAAGATAGTATTATTATGTTTTTCGTTCTATATATAAAACGACGACGCGAGCGAGCGAGAGAAAACGAGAAGAAGAGACAAGCTCGCTCTCATTATTATCGTCATTTCATCCGAAACCATCAGGGCGAATCTGTCAAAAATATATTCTCCGCTGCTGTGCTACGAAGGGGGTCCACGCGCGCGTTTATATATATAACACACACCATCCGAGCAACTGAATTATATGCGAGCGTACGTCAGGAGCTTTTCGTATTTCTTCGAAATATGTAACGCTGCGCGATGCTTGCGGATCGCTGCCGCAAGCCGTGTCTCGTTAATCAGTCGCGAGGCATCGTCGTCGTCTCTCTCTTTTTCTCTTGTAATCCTTCAGCCGCTTTTGTATATACATGTGGGTGTGCGTGTGTGGCGCGAGCCCTTCGGATCGCAGAACTTGCCTGCAGTACTCAGACACACACACCTATACACGTGCAAGTGAACGCACATCAATTTTTCAAAGGCTGCATTCGCGAAAATCGATTTTATCGCTCGAGCTTGCCCTCGCGTCCAATATACGACACGTACAACTTGCTAGCTGTATCTATCTAGCCGTGTGGCCGGTTTTATTTGCACCTAATTTTTTTCTGTACTTTTTGCTCGAAAACAAAAAAAAAAATAAATAAAGACGAGATGGTTCGCTGTCGACGACGAGCTCGACGGCGACGACGACCATGATGCCGACCACGACGTGTTACAGCGAGTGAGTACTATTTTTGGGCTTTTCGGTATTTATTCCGCTATGCTCTCCCGAAGGAGGAGGAAAGAGAGATAGTAGCAGCACACTCACATATACACGTACACGAGGCGCAGCGCGTGCGGGACACGACGTTGACTTACTGCGGTACATCGTGTGTTATTTTTTTTTTTTTTAACCTTTTTCGAGGGGGTTTCGTCGCCCGAACTCTCGACGAATTTAACTCTCGGCTTATTTATTCTTCTGTATTTTTCGCGATCTCTCCAGCTCGCAAGCTGGGCTCGCTCACAGCTCGCACACGGAGCGGTGCGAGATATTAGTTCATTGAATGGAAATATTTGAAAAAGGCTAAAAATATCGGGCAAATAACGATCGAATGTATTCATTATACATATATCTGCGAGCTCTCTGCGTGACCCACTGCGAACACGAGTCGTGCCGGCGTACACACTCGTTATAAATATGAATATTAATAATGCCCACCGCGGTTGACTGTGTGTGTGTGTGTGTGTTGCGCGCGACGAAGTTAATGTAATTGCGCGCGCGCACTATATATCCTTATCAGCTACCTAGAACAATTACGGTTACATACTTTCAATAGCAAAAAAAAAAAAGTTTTATTCTATATTATTCTAATGTATGTGCGAGCTCTCTAACCATTGATATTACGCGATGATGATGTGCAATTGCATAAAAAGCCTATACAAAATGTATTTTATTTGTTTTTCATGTGGATATGTCGGTGTCGCTATACATAAATGTCACTATATTATTCGTGTGTAATGGTGTTTGTTGTTGTCTCTGTTGTACCAAAATTTCACAAACGAGCTGCGATTTTTCAAAAGTTACACGCATATGTAATTGTAGCCGAACATTTCCTCTCCTACCGAGAAATTACTGTCTTTTCTTTTTCTCTCTCTCTCTCTCTTTCTTGCTCTCGCTCGGAGGAAACTCACTTAGAGTCTTAGCTTCTCTTTTGCACTAAAAATAGAATCGCCTCAAATAACATATATACTCTCGCTCTGCGCACCGCACACATATATGTACATGCGGCAGGTCTAAACTAAAAATGTTGTTCTCTCTCTCTCTCCCAAAGCTCTGATTCTCTCTCTCTCTTGAATACATGAAAAAATCATCGCACACAGTCACGCGTATCACACCTAGGAGGGCGCGTGAATTATTAATACGAGTATAGCGAGTCGCCACCGCGCGCGGTGCAGCGCATCATTTAAATTAAAACATCTAATGGAAAGTCTTGATTTTGTATAGGCTAGAGCTAGCTTTTTCGGTCGCGCAACTCGTAACACGGTATCGCTTTCTTCGTGTTGTTTCTGCAGCTCGCCTCTGTAGAGCGAGCTTCGCAGCGGCATACAGCAGTAGCAGCAGAGAAGCTGGCTAAGCTCCAGAGAAATTTGTATTTATAGAAACGCCACACAGCATATAGTAGTAGCCACATCAGCAGCAGCACCTGTCCCTGCGCTGTCGACTGATCGGCACATACACGCACAGGCAGCAGTAGACAGACAAACTCGTCGAGTCTGTGCTTGCGCACTTTTGTTCCTCTCTCTCTTGCGCTTTTCTCGCTTTACACGCGCGCGCCCGCGAACGGTCATTGCTAAATAGAGGCGAGAACGAGAAAACAATAGCCCCAGATCGTCCTTGGTCGTTGCTGCAGCGACTATAATATATAAGCAAAGGAAGTTTCGTATGCCAAACACCGATGAACGGTGAAGCCGCTGCCACTGCTACTGCATACTTCGAATGTTATTACATTTTATTAATAGTCCGATGAGCAACGCGCGTCGCTTCGAAGGTGGATCATCGTCGGTAACGCGATCGAACTCGCGCGTTCAGCGGTATATTTTTCGAACATAACGCGATACATTGTTTTACGGTAATTTATTTTCTTCACTGCTTTATGTTTCCCAATGCCTCGGTGTTCGCACCTGGTCGAAATTATACTCAGTCGAATGTAATCATGTATATAACGCGTCGAACTTGGCTGCCCATAGCATATAGTATATTATGGAGCGGGCAATAGCTCGTAAAAGCAGGCAGGCTTGCAAAAAAAAGAAAAAAAAAAAAAGAAATAATAATAAAAGACGCACGCGAAAGCTCGTGGGCGGAAGTCGCACTCGCGGACAGATGGCTTATCTGCGCGTGTGTATGTATACACAAACGATGACTGGGCACCTTGTAGAGCTCGGCACGGCTCGAGGGTGTATCGATGTATGCACACACACAGGCACACGTTGGCAATTCGTCGTAAAATAAAATTGATTGCGTCGCGGATAATGATCGAGAGACACGCGTATACGTGTGTGCTCGGTCGTGCGGTTTTTGGAAAATTCGTCCATGACATTAACAAATAAACGTGCACACGAAAGAAGATGAAGAAGCAAAAAAGAAAGAAGCGCCCGCTCGAGGGGGAGGCTTCAGTGTCCACGTGCAATACATATGCCATATCACGGCGCGACATCCGAGAGGGCGTGCTTGAAGCTTCGCATTGGTGGATCATCGCGAATCGCAGTAGTCCCCCACACGTATATTCAAGCTGTATAACGCGTCCTCTCGCCCGGATTATCCTACCTTGTTGCGGTGCGCCGGCGCTTAGCACGCGCGCATGTCGAGTCTCTCTGCCTTGTATATAGTTACCACCTACTGCTGTGCCGCTATGTATATATAGCTCAGGCTCGAGGATGCGCGTAAAAATGAGAGTAATTTTCCCGGTGAGGGAAAAACTTTCCTGCGTTCATTCGACAAAAAATTGTGTTTATCCTTGGCTCGTCGAGCATATTTTTTCGTGTTAATTTTTTTCTCTTTTATTCTTTTTTCAAACATCGCACAAATAGAGCACGACAAAATGTATATAACTCGATCGAAGAACGACACAAAGTTGCGCTGCGCGTCACTAAAATTTACGCGCGATCGCAATCGGGTTAACCGCGTCGTCGGTATGTGCGTCGGTTGTAGTAAAAGCTCGTGCACTTTGCGCGTGCGAGCCTCGGAAATCGAGCGCCAATATTGAAAAATGGAGAGTAAACGTATTTTTCTATGTATCGTTTCCCGGTAAAAGGTGGAATTACTTTGACCGAATTTTTTGCTCATCGATTTCGAAGAAACTTTTGATGCATCAAATATAATCCCGACGATATAGATATGAGAAAAGTCGAGTTTCTCTGCACTACGTACATAAATGGAAAAAAAGAAAGTTGGTTAGAGCAGAAGCGAATCGTCTAGCAATATACAATCGTGTAACACACGATGGTTTTAGCCTTCGATTCGCTTTAGACGGACACACGCGAGCCATTCATAATGTAGGGGACACGAGCCTGACTGACTGAGATGTGTCCGACAGATAAGTCGAACATAGAGCGAGCTAAAACAGAGAGAGAGAGAGAGAGAGACGGACGGATAGAAAAGTGTATCCAATACGGTACAAGTACTACTACCACACAACCGGGGCTCGGGCCAAATTGGCTATTTTGCCTTCGATTTTGGTTATACACCGCGCGTCGATCGATGATAACCTGCGCGCGGATCTATATTTTGCTCGCCGCGCGTCTATTATAACAGTGGAGGCGCGGGAAAAATAAAAATGAAAATAAGCAGAGACGAAAGTCGAGTTGCGAAAAGCGTTGCGTAATAAACAAAATATTGATCTTCGCTTTCGGTAAGCCGTGTGCGGACGGATGGACAAACGCTCTTTATATGTATACGATCGATTCCGAATACACCACACCATACTCAAACATAAACACATGTGCATGTGTGCCGTTAGTACAATAATGTAATGATGAAAAGTTCAGGGTTGATGACGGCCCTTATATTACACTTCATCGATTCGGGTAGATAAAGTATGTTTGCTTTGGACACCTTCACTTATACTAATTACTTTAGCCCGCTCGTGTGTGTATGTGTGTGCGCGTGTGTGTGTCTGTGTGTGTCTCACTGATGTCTTTCTGACGAGTGTAAATACACGACTTCCCTTAAAAGTTTTTCTGTATTATTATATTGCGCTCTTCAAGTGTGTGTTGAATGTCTCTAAGCTCGTTTGTGCAAATTTATATTGCAAAAAAAATAAAATACTTACGTATCACCTTTTTTCTCACTTATTTTACTTCTTCACTTTTTTACCATATGAATTAAAACGAAAAAAATCTTAAAAATATATAAAACCAGCCAACAATCATTTTGATAAATCAACTTGTTTTTTTTGGTCTCGCGACTAAGGTACTAACGTTGGTGTTAGATTATAATCGTGTGTCGTGTGCCGTGTGCCGAACAAGTATTGCAGTATATACTTTTACCTTTTTTGATTATATATAAATATGAATTACACACGTTTGTCGTTGGTTTGCTATTTCTACTTTTTTTTTTAATTTTAATCTGTTATTTTGGCGATTTCGAACTTCTTTGATGGATTGTTTTGTATTCGCCTTTATTATAATAAGTTTTTTTGTTCATTATTTAATTTTCTTCTTTTTACGCTTTGGTTCTTTTTTATAACGACTGAAAAAATGAGAGTACCGTTGCAACGATACCAAACTCTTTTCGTCTTGTCTTGTATACGCTTAACCAATCGTAGATGACCACAAACGATGCAAAAAAAAAAAGAACCAAGGCAAAAATCGAATCATCATCTTGAAAACTCATTTAAACAACCTCGCATTATCAATGTACAACCTTTGCATAAACAAACAAAGAATCACCACCACCGTCTCTCTCATCGTCGCACCTCGAGCTAATTCGATTTTTTCTCAATTTTGCAGAGTACCACCTGGCTACATGTACCAATCGCCGTATCTGGCGACAGCCGCGCCGGGCGCCCTGGTCCAGCTCCCTGGCCAGCAGCTGAATCACGCGGCAGCGATAGCCGCCGCAGCGGCCTCGCAGTTCTATGATTTTCAAAGCGCAGCAGCCGCGGCTGCCAGCGCCTACCCGGCTGGGGCCTACAACTTCGCCGAGGCCTATCCGTACACGACGGCGGCAGCAGCTGGTATGTCCGGCTTAAAAATTGCCTCGAAGGCACCCGCGATCATGCACACAGGACCACCACTACCAACTCATCACCAGCATCATCAACAACAACAGCAGCAGCAGCAGCAGCAGCAGAAACAACAGCAGCAGCAGCAGTCACACTCGAGTCCCCAGACGAACGGCAGTCCCGTTCAGTTCGGCGGGCCCCACTTGATGGAACAGACAATGTTGCCGCAATTTATGCCCTCGATGCTGCGCGGCAATGGTAGCCCTTCTGCTCCTTCTCTTCCTTTGTATCAAAGAGACCTTCTCTTGCCTACCTGTATCTTGAATCTACCTCTCGATGAACCCTCCGAACAAGTCTCTAGCGATGACGCGTCAAGCGGTCGGTATCCTTCGGAATACGGTGCACACTCTCGATCTTCGTTCTCTCAATTATGTTCCGATGATTGCTCATATTCTAGCCCCGACTGGTCGTATTATCAAACGCGCTGTCCCGTCTGTATCGAGGGAATCCATTCCGACGACGACAATTCGAGCAGTGAGCTCGGTTGGTCGTCGATCGTTCACCGCAGCAGCGATTCGTCATCCGATAGCTCGAGCGAATCATCGAGAAGCGAACCAACTCGCTTCGATACCTACAGCCAATGTAGTACGCTCAGACTGGGTTCCGAGCCCGATAAAAATCAAATCGCCATCACGATTAACGAACCCGTTGCCGACTCGCGCGGCAGAGCACCTTCTCCTTCGGTGACCGTAGATTCTTTTGATTTTTACTACGAGCCGAAGAGGGATGCGTGCCTCAAGTGGTTCTTCGTCAGTTTCGCCCTGTCCCTTGTTATTGGATTCTTATTGTTAACCTATTTCTTTAATTTACATAAGGAAAACCCAAAAAATTGTTGAATTTTCAAAAGTTTCAAAAGTTATCAAGTTTCAAGACGGATTTTTTCCTCTAACTTGACTTCATTCATTTTATTTTCTTTTATTAGTTACGCTATTTTAATTAAGGTCTAATTTGTGCAATTTCACACCATTCCAACAAAGTTGGGAATTCGTTGTTGAGCTCATTTACCTGCATGCAGTATTATTTGCACGTCATATATGTAATATACGCGTACAATAGTATAGTAAGCATGACAACATGACATTTGACGGAGTGCATTATGACTAATTTAATTCTCATCTCTCCCACTTCGCATCAGAGTAATGTAATCATAATCATGATAATTGTAAAAATTTCACGCTCAAAAATCGCTTATTTTTTAGCACTTATGGGTAATTAACAATTCGTTTGCCATATTTCATTCGACTAATCAATTAAACTTTAACAAAAAACTACGTCAGCATACGAGGGCTTCTAATTTTGCATGTTCATTTATTCATACAATAATTATGTGCCACTTTGTATTATATTATTCCAGGCGTAAGTTCTTAAAATGCTGTTGATGTTGGTGGTGGTGGTATAAAAAAAAAGCAATTAATAAATTAGTTTTAAAACACAAAAAAGTCATTTACGTTCGCGTTTACTGTTAACTTGGACATTAGAATCGTGTAAATGTTAAACGGTGAAAAGAGGGAGAGAGAGCGCACACTTGGTAATGTCAAATACTAGATTGTATCACACCTTGGCTTTACTGACAAAGTTGGCAATAATGATTTTTTTGACATATGTGTGTGTTCTATCCGTGAAAAAGTTCTTTAGATCTGTCAAGCATTATTTTTCTTTTTGTAGACGTGGAATTTTGGTTTCAAGTAGATCTGTGCTACTGTCAGCCAATTTTACTGAAGCTATTTTCTTAGAACTTTCAAACACTTTGAAGTAAATGCTAAGCCGGTTAAATTATGTAATGTTTCAAATCGTGCTCTCTTTTCTCCCATTGACTTTTATGTAAATTAGAATAAGTTATTAACATTTTTTTATATTTTTTTTATATTGGATGAACGACAAAAAATGGTTGTAAATGTTAAAAAAAAAACAAAAAATTTAAAAAAAAATCTTCAAAAAAAAATAAAACGATAAAAAAAACTGAAGCGTATATATTTTTCCTTAATGTCGTTTATTCAAATCTAACGTGAAAACTTTTGAAAACTTTTCAATGTAAATTTCAGTCTTTCTCTGTACTAATAAATATTTTTTCCTTTAATTTGCAGCTAACGCAGCGAGTTACGTACCTTACACGGCCTACGCAGCTTTGCCTGGTGCAGCGGGTATACCAGCCGCAGCGACGGCCGCAGGAGCCTTTCCCGGGCTTCCTTACCAAGCTGCACCACAGGAAGCGCGACTTCCATAATTTTAAGGAAAAAATGACATCGAAAATACAACTGAATCCAGGTTGAGACGAGATATTCTTCGGCTACTTTACCAAAAAAAAAATATCACTCTCTCGATCGGAAGACAGATGAATTTACATCTTTTCTTGATACTTCACCGCTCACATAGTTTATTTCGTTTATTAATAGGAAAAATTCGACGAGGTTAATAATCAGCGGCGAACTGTCTTGGAAAAAGATGTGCGAAAATAATTATGTTATTTTTAAGTTATAACGATGTATTACTATGTCAAAAAACAATCGACTACAATTTTTTAACAAGCTCAAAAGTATTTGGTGCTGTTAGAGTATGAGATTTTTGTCTTATCACTTGTTCAATCGCAAGTTGATGCACGCACGTAATATACAAAAATGAATTCAATCGAAAGATTTATTTTAAATTAAAAAAAATAATAATAATCGAATCAGGTACAATGCCATTTCCTTGAATTATTCAATTGTTATAACGAACGTGACCTGCGAATAAGAATATTTATTAATTAAAAGCTAGTGTAATATATAATTGTCAAAAAAATTACTCTTTATATAGTGAAGCTGCAGACTAACGCGCAAGCTTTGAAGGCTCGACAGCAAAAGCCTCCCAAAGATACGCTAGATATTATATAATGAAGTTTGTAAATCGATGAACGTAAAGTTTTGTAGCGAGTTTGACGGCGAAAAAATTAAAGAGATGCTTCGAATGATCATTGACAGCTGAAAATATCAAAGCACAAATAGTTAAAAGGAAAAGCTCCCGAGAAGATGCGTGTATTTTTTAATTTATATACTATATACGAACATGCACGTATAACCATAAGGATGAGAATGTGCGAGTAAATGAATGAAAATATTTATGACGACAAAATAAAAAAAAATGTTGTTGTGTGAATGTAAGTTCAAGCAGAAAACTAGTGGAAATCTAGATTTTTTAAATTATTATTACTTTATTAAAACAACTATCATGTAATTATTCTATATTATTACTCATAATTCAAATCTCGAAATCTTATTGAATTGACATTCATTTGTTCTCTTGCAAATTGATGAGGAATAAAATGTATATTAAAAAATATCGTTGACTATATTTGATGAGAAACAATAAATAAGAATTAATTTCAAATTTATCTTACAACTATTAACTCTCTGATACATTATAAATAAATACCAATGGTGCATCCAGATGGAAATAATCGTTACCACGGATGATCAAAAGTTACCTGGTAGAAATTTTTTTTCAATTTTCCATGCATAATAATTTATAACTATTCTTCAAAGGATGCAATGAATTGATTGTTGCCTTACAAAACTACAAACACAATTAACAGTTGCTCATTCGCAGTATTTGATTGTATGCTTGAATAAAAAATACATCTGACCAATCACAGTGCCTTTCAACGGTATTAAACTTCAATGAATTATGAAAAGTGAAAAAACATATGAACTTGTAACAAGCGACAAAAAGTTTTCATTTCACCTGACAATGTGCCTATACATAAACCACAAATTAATGTAATTGGTCAGAAAAAACTAGTCAGTATACTCTCTGAGAATTTTAAGAATGAATAATTTTATAAGAAAAAGAAATTTTAAAATGTTTGAGAATTGCTAAAAAACAAGCAAGAAAGATTTCAAGATCCCACTGCTGAAACTAATGAGGCTGTCTAGTCTTTATACTTAGAAAGCCTTTTGCGATGTTAATCCGTAATTTTCACGGATATTTACGAATATTAATTATATGTACAAAAGTCATTATACACTTTACGAGCTGATGGAAAATCTGAACCTTTTTGTACACTTGTAAAATGACAGTTGTGTTGTAGCCCTTAAAAATAAATGGAAAAACAAGTAGACAATTTGCACGTATAACAGTGAATTTGTTCGCGAATCGAAAGAAAAAATTTATGTAGACGTTAAGTATTACAATTCTGTATACTGAATTAGAAAACTAGAAATTTAATGATTATTTATTAAGGAATTCAACGATTCTATTTCCTATGTAGGCTAATAATTCTTATTAGGATGGTATGATATTTATTTATCGTACGAAAGTTATTTTATTATTATATCGATTATACTATTTTTATGTAATCGTATATATTATACAGTTATTGGCTCATGATAATTCTGTACTTAAAAATAAATCAAAATCAATTATAAAAATGGCTTGAGTATTTGGTCATACTATCCATGGTTATTAATTATATCGATGTAACTTCAATATTAAACGCGATCGCGAATAAACCAAAATCATCAATGATATTATACATCGCAAGTCGATCTTTGAATAATATAGTAAGAAATACAAAACAAAATAAACAATATACTTTATGGTCTGTTATCTACAATAATTATTAAATATATTATTATACTTGAATATAATATGCTGACAAAGAGCATTAGATTAAATGTCCATAGGAAAAAATATATTCTCACAAAGCAAACGAATATTATATTTTCATTTCTTTGTTGCTATTATGTATACCCCTTTTATCAACATTTTCACTACTATGTGCTCATAAAAAACCTGAAACAGCTTTCAAATAAATGACTCAATTTATGAGACTATTTCATCTTGAAAGCAAAGTAAATTATAAAATTAGTGAGTGCATCATAACATTTATCTCTTCTTACTCTCAAAGTTATAGAGCAATTGAATAATGTCAAAGCAGATACTTCGTTTAATCATCAACTCGGTGCCCATTGAAAAGTCACTAACAATTATATAAAATCAATTTATTTCTAATAATGACTGCAAATCTTACAATATTTCAAGTCCAGTTTTTACTATAAAAACTTCAAGATAAAAATGAATAATTCTCAATAATAGTTTCAATATGTTTATAAAAATTACAAGTAATATACTAGAACAAATAAACAAATAAAAAGAACGTATTTACATTATAGACGAAAATCATGAACGACGCATACTCATCATAGTGTTAATTTCTGAAATGATCATTCTTACTTTATCTATAATTTCTTTCAAGTGTCTATTTCGTTGTACTAGTATCTGAAAAAAAATGTTTCATGAAAGTCACTTTATTTTTATGCATTTAGTAAACCAGAATTTTATAATACTAACTTCTTGTACTTCTTTTTGTTCTTCACAAGCTTGCCGGTAAGCTTCTGATGCTTTCTTTTCATCATATTTTTGATCCCACTCCTCTTTAATAGGAATCAAACTCTCAATGTGAGTATACTCCATACCTTGTAGTTGACTAGCGTCATTACATTTATCATATATCATTCTTAAACGTTTAAATAATATTCCTACATATTTCAAATGCTCGTTTATTTTCATTTTTCTGTCATTTGACAAATTCATTCCTTGTGGTGTTCCTGTAAATTAAAAATTACATTTTTAAAAATAGTGCATTTTAATATTTTGAAATGTTTCTACTACTTACCATTGGGTGGAGCAACCACCTTGAGCAGTTGGAATACTTCCAGCATTCTGCTGACAAGCTCTTGAACAGATTCTTGTCCTATTTTACAAAGAAAAATTGGATTAAATTCTCTAGCCTCTTTCTTCTGAGGTTGTTGCACTTGTGGGGCCATCATTTGAGGCGCAGTTGGCGTTGTACTAGCTTGAGTATCTTGGAGAACAAGCGGGTTCGCTTGTTGCATTTGCATTTGTTGCTGCTGCTGCATCTGTAGTTGTTGTGGCATCGGTTGCTGCTGCGACATCACTTGTTGGTTAGTCGGCATCCCCAGAGCCTTTGGATTCATGCCAGGTCCAACTCCTCCGCCCAGTTGTTGTTGACCTAGCATTCCTATGGAATATTTTGTGGTTGTCATTGATAAACTTTACTCTCAACAAATTGTAATAAAATTACAACTGTTTACAAACCTTGTTGTGGACCCATAAGGCCAGAAACCATCTGACCTCCACCAAACTGATTTCGCATCTGTTGTTGAACGTTTGGAAATCCCGTTGGGAAAGGATGCTGTTGTCCAGCCATTTTTCTATCAAAATATTCAATCAACGTTAAAAAACGTAAAACAGATTGATATCAAACACTCAAGTCAAGTTAGCCTTACCACTTTGAGATCAAACTTATAGGAACTATTCGAATGTAAACCACGAATCTTGCGAGCTCACACGGTTATTTTCAAGCTCTAGATATCTCAATCAACATTTCACGAATACACAGTTGAGTCGCACTATCATTTTCGAAATAAACAATGACTTTTGACTGATATTGGCCTTATATGTTCTTCTACCTAAGCAAAATTGATGTCAACTGCTAGGCGTTATGGTCAGTACGTGATGTATTGCAAACGCATGCAGACGCGCCGCGTATCTATATCCCGGCCGGCATGTGTAGCGTCGGTAACATCGGTCACGTTCGGTTGGCGGTAAGGAAGAAAATTGCCAAATTTACTCGAGCCAATTGAATTTTTCATTACGGAATAATAAGATATGTCATTGCCTTCATGGGAATAGTTGGAAATATATAGGATTCGGACATTTGAAATCAGGTGTTTGTGTAAGTGTATAGAAATAAAATTGTTCAAAACCAATTCATAGTAAGAAAATTCATTTTATTATCTTTTTTTCGCCGCGAATAATTTGCTGGGAATAGTTGTCGTGGTCTGTCCTCGTCTGGGAATCTGCAAATAGACAAACGAAATTTCATTACTTCATGTTCCGCTCAAAGACAAAAAAATGTGAAAATACAATCTCTGGCCTGTGTGCCTACCTTCATTATGACCGATTCTCTCTCTACCGGTTTCTCGGGCATGAGATTGATCGGTTTGGGTTCCTCCGTCGTCGACGAGGGTCCAAAATCGTCGGCGCCCAACTCTTTGGAGTTGAACCAGTCGTCGTCGAAACTGCTCAGTTCCTGCTTGGTCGAGACTATCGACGATGCTCCGGTGGTCGTTGTGATCGGAGCCGACGTCATCGCGGGCGCGGCTGGCTCGGCACGATCGTCGGATCTGGCGCTCCGGCTGTTTTCAGCCTGCATCGAAACGAATAATAAATTCATGCATCAACCGAGATCAAAATTCGCAATTCGATATCGTCGAGCTGTAAGTCGACACTATAACGCACCTGTTGCACCTCGGCTGGGGTTTCGTGGAAGGCCTCGGCCAATGCCGGATTGATCTCTTCGAGCGGCTGATCGCCGAGTCTTATGTACACCGGCACATAACCCGGAATTTCCGGTAGAATCTGCAGAGATCTCGCGTCTGAAAAATCAAGTAACAAGAAAATTAAATGTGACAGTTGCTGTGCACGCGTAGGAGTCGTTTAGCACTACTTTCTACATAAAACACGCCATGCGCAACGGTGATTTCAATCGGCTCTAGTTTTTCACAGCCCGTGTATCCAGTTTTTTTTTAAGTGTGAAACGCGCGACGCAATAGTTTTAATCCATCTGATTTTTACATAATGCGTGAATATAAAAAACAAACTCAATCGCAATGATGAAAAAAAAAAACAAAGTAACATTCGTTAGGATTACACAAGAGAGCGAGGCATAAATATAAAGACGTACTCGCTAGCAATGACTTCCGCGTGTGTGCGCCTCTCTCTCCGTGCATGATGTTTTTAATAACACCAAAAAATTTTAAAGCTCGAGAACATGAATTGGAATTTTAACGGATATAAAAACTATCTCGAGTGAATCGACGTCATTGTCATTGGACACTCGAGTATAATAATGACTCGGTAATCATAATCTTGTAGAGCAATGTCGTCGAGAAAACCCACACGTTTCGGATAAATAATGAAGTGGTGAATAGAATCAATCGATCCATGACAAGCTTTTGAAAAATTACTCGAGCAGCATATCGTATTTGCAACTTATTTGCCTCGAAAATCGAAGCGATTTCACAATAGAACGGGCCCGCGGATCTTTGTAACAAGTTCAAGGCTCTAAACCACACCGTGAGCAGGTTTTTATCGTGATTTTACTTTCTTTTCCGGGTTCGAAATGCACTCTCTGTTCGATTCACATTATTGGTACAGCGGCAACAGCCCCGGCACTAACCCATTGACCCATTTCCCTCGCGCACGTCGCGTTCGGAAATCTTTCTCTCGAGATTCTCTCCTCCTGCTCGCGCGAGAAACGATGGCCTCGCGTGAACAAAAAAGAGAAAGAACGAAAAAAAAACCAATTCACTGCTCGACTTGTCTCTTTCTCTCTCTCTCGTTTAAAATCTTATACAGGTAAATGTATACTTCATTTTGCACTTGCGCAACAACAACACACTTGCGAAATTTTTTGTTTGGTCTCGTGTTCGGCACTTGTATGTACGCACGATTTTAATTAAATTAATTTATAATCAAAAGTCCTATACGAATGCGTGTGTCACACTCACTGTTGGGCCGTGCCAGGGAAAAGAGCACGATTAGCGAGATCAGCAGCAACGAGTTTTTCCGCTCCATGACGACACGACAAGCCCTGAACTCTCTGATGCACGACGACGACGACGACGACGACAACGTTATATTTCTCTCGGCTTCGCGCGCGGGCTTCTACTGGGCCTCTGGACCGTCGCGCTTTCAGCTTTATAGCGCGAGTGCGGCTACCTACTCTAGCTCGACACTCGACGAGTCTCTCTCGCTCACTCGTGCCTCTCTCTCCCTTTTCTCTCCCTCTTTTTCTTCCTTTTTTGCACAGCGTCAATGATGATGATGATGATGCCGATAGGTAATGATGATGCTGCTGCTGCTGCTTCTGCTGCTGGTGATGATGGGGGTTCCGTTAATGCATCGAACAGAAAAAAGTTTCGGACAAAAAAGGGATGAGCTTGTGCTGCTGCAGTGTAAAATACACACCCGAGGTCAGCTCGTTGAATTCTATGCAGTTGTTTCAAAGCCTCATTACAAGGAACGAGCCGGTGAAAGAGTAATTGGTTTTTCGGGACGATCGGTATGATGGCTTTCTGCACCTTCATAGAGAGAGAGGATAAACTGCGAGAGTGTATTAATTTTTCAAAAATATTTTAAGCGTTATTGATATTACCTTGCACGCATCCTCATGCGCGGTACTTTACTTACGCAGTTTCTCTTTACATTTTTATAATAGGCTTGGCTGTTGCCGTATATATGATGGCCGAGCTCGATTGTTTTGAACCTGTAAATATGTCCGAAAAATAATCTCTCTGCCGCAAAAATGCCAGCCTAAATTGCGACTCCGGAAAGACGTGACAAGGTTTATGTGTCTCTTAATTCACGACAACGAAACATTTCTCGCGTGAACTCTTTGTTGCACGGAGAGCACAAATGTATTTACGACGGCTGCAAAACTCTCATGGTTGCGCTGCGGATCGGCAAAAAACCTCGTCGCGGAATGGAAAAAAATTATACGATCCTGCCCCCGATAATAAACGAAACAAAAACAGAAGCGACGACGCGGACGACGACTATGACGCAGTGTCAAATCCGCGTAAATTTTCAACATCAACTGCGGATAGCGGCTTGAGAGAATTATGAACGTGACGTCGAGTAATTCTCAAGAGATAGAGATACGATAGAGAGAGAGAGAGAGAGACGACGATCATTTTTCGTCGAGTGACATAGCGAACAATGACATAACCTTGCCTACTCACGGCATCGTACGTACGTACGCTTCATAATAAAATTATCATACCTAAAATATTCTTCTTCTTCGGTAAAAAAAAAAAAAAAAAAAAAAAAAAAACAAGCCAAGAATCAAGTTGGAGAGAGAAATATAATTGGAATATTTCAAAACAGCAATCATGTGTAATTTTTGCAATCATTCGTCGTGTTCTATATAATTTCGCATCGTGTACGCTATACGCGCCTCGTTATACCGTGGACGATATTATGGTGTACCTAACGCATGTAGCCAGTGAAAGTTATCTAATATCAAAATGTGGTCGTGTGTGTGAGCTCACTGCACTACCTGCGTTTCTGGAATCAAAGGGTGGTAGTGCATTATTGTCATGGTCGAAAATGGGCCTCATTATTGTATATCCTTTTTCCATTAAATTTAATGGTCACGTCGACGCGAGCGCGCGCGCATCAAAGTAAAACGTATCATTTGTAATTAGCTCGACTGCGTGCACTGCTCGACTATGTTCCTTTTGACACTTCGGGACGAGCGTAACATTAATAGATGGATTTTCTTCTCGATTCTGCTTCAGCCATGAGCATGATTATACACTTGTGGCAAAGAAAACGAAAATAAAAATGACGAAGTATTTGGATATTTTTCTTTACAACGTAGCGTGCATCGCTTCTGTTCGGACGTGCTTCTAATATCTAACGATTCACGAGGAAATTGACAAGACACATAATCACTTCATTACACATTTTTATTGCGAATCGCCATTGTTACTGTTAATGTACACTTTATTATGCGTGTATTGAACTTTTCTGTGCGGAATTTAATTGAACAATTTATACGAGTTTTATACGTAAGAGAGTATTATGAGCGATGGTAAACTCGTTCAACGAAATCCTTAAGCACACAGTATCGTTTCCATGAGGAAGAGAAAAAGAAAGTTGAGCGCGTTTTAAGTAGCAGTCCGCGTTAAACTACTATGCGTAACCTTGATGTGCAAATTAAGGACATGCCGAGAGTTCAGCAACCTATGCAGCTCGCGTTTGATTATATTCATACAGGAATTTTTTTTATTTTTATATGTATTGTAATTTCAAAATTGTATCTACCTGGAATAATATATTATGTATTAAGACGTTTAGTAACTATTGTAATGTGATTACAGAAATAACTCAAAATAATTCAAAAATAGGTGCTATAACTTCGTTATTCGAAACTGCACCTCTTGGTCCTCTGTCAAATCGTCTTGTTTGAGAATTATAGTTTGTGTATTGATTCGGTGAAGAAACTCCGACTCCTACGAAGCAGACATAAAATAATGGTGAACAAAATATTCATTGATAATCTATTCATTAGTTACCTGCAGTATTAGAAGATCCTGGCCGATTATTTTGTTGTTGTGATGATGAATTATTGTTATTGTTCGAATTATTATTTGAATTGTTATTTGCATTGTTATTTGAATTGTTACTAGAATTATTATTTGAATTATTATCTAAAAATAAAAGTAGATTTTTTCAATGCACATATAACGATTAAGTAAATAAAAAATATTTTGTAGAAATCATACTTATGTGCCAACCAGGAGGAGAATTGAAAAAACCACCAGGGAAAGGTTGCGACCCTGAGTTTGTTTGGGATGCATTTCCACTATCAGTTCCAAGTTGACTATTGTTTCCCCCCTGTTGATTATTATTACTTTGCTCTCCATTGTTTCCCGTACCTTGTTGGTTAATCCCATTTTGCGGCCTATTATTTCCAATTCCTTGTTGATTACCAGTTGATGGACGGTTATTACCAATTCCCTGTTGATTATTTCCACTACCAATTTGTCCATTACCATTTTGTGGTCGGTTATTTCCAATTCCTTGTTGATTATTCCCACTGCCAATTTGGGAATTACCATTTTGCGGTCTATTGTTTCCAATTCCTTGTTGATTATTCCCACTGCCAAATTGTGAATTACCATCTTGTGGTCGATTATTACCAATTCCTTGATTAATGCCAATTGATGGACGATTATTTCCAAATTGTCCGGTACCATCTTGTGGTCGATTATTACCAATTCCTTGATTAATGCCAGTTGATGGACGATTATTACCAATTCCTTGTTGATTATTTCCACTACCAAATTGTAAATTACCATGTTGTGGTCGATTATTACCAATTCCTTGATTAATGCCAGTTGATGGACGATTATTACCAATTCCTTGTTGATTATTTCCACTACCAAATTGTGAATTACCATTTTGCGGTCTATTATTCCCAATGCCTTGTTGATTTATACCAGTTGATGGACGATTATTACCAATTCCTTGTTGATTATTTCCACTACCAAATTGTGAATTACCATTTTGCGGTCTATTATTCCCAATGCCTTGTTGATTTATACCAGTTGATGGTCGATTATTTCCAAATTGTCCTTTACCATTTTGTGGTCGATTATTACCAATGCCTTGTTCATTTATACCATTTGGTATTTGAGTATTTCCACTGCCAATTTGCCCATTACCATTTTGCGGCCTAGTATTTCCGGTTCCTATCTGGTTTATTCCGGTCTGTGGTCTATTATTCCCAATGCCTTGTTGATTTATACTATTTGATGGTCGATCATTACCACTATCTATTTGTCCAAAACCATTTGATGGTCTATTATCTCCAATACCTATATGTCCATTACCATTTTGTGGTCTGTTATTTCCGATTCCTGGTTGGTTAATTCCATTTTGAGGTCTGTTGTTTCCAACGCCTATCTGAATTATACCACTCGATGGTCGATTATTTCCATTGTTATTTTGTGGTCTATTATTTCCAATTCCTTGTTGGTTAATACCATTTTGAAAAATGTTATTTTCGCCACTAATTTGTCCAATACCATTTTGGGGACGATTATTCCCAACTCCTATCTGGTTTATACCATTAGATGGTCGATTATTTACAATTCCTTGTTGATTTATACTATTTGATGGTCGATTATTTCCTGTTCCTTGTTGATATATACCATTTGATGGTCGGTTATTTCCAATATTAATGTGTTCATTACCGTATTGCGGCCTATTACTTCCATAGCCTTGATGGTTTATCCCATTTTGAGGTCGATTATTTCCAATACCTATTTGGCTTTTTCCACTGTTTGCAATACCTTGTTGTCTAATACCATTTTGTGACCAATTATTTCCAACTCCTAGTTGACTATTTATGTTGCTAGGCCGATTATTGCCTAATCCTAGTTGGCCATTATGAATTCCTTGTTGTCCAAAGCCATTTTGTGCTTGATTATAACCGATTCCTACTTGGCCATTAATGTTATTCGGTCGATTGTTTCCTATCCCTATTTGAGCATTATGAATTCCTTGTTGTCCATAGCCACTTTGTGGACGATTATTAGAAATATCTAGTCGTCCAATACCATTATGTTCAATTCCTAGTTGGCCATGTGGAAGTCGGACGCCTATCCCTCGATGATCATTAACGTTTGGATGTCCTGTATTAATTATTCCATGGGGAGGTCGACGTTTACCAAAATGATCAATATTAAGACTTTTTAATGGTTCCACTTGTCTTTTAGTTAATGTTTTAGCTGCTAAAATATAATTTAAGAGCGACAATAGCAGCAAAAACTTGAACCACATGACGAATAATTTTTTAAAGCAACCAAGAGTCTCAAAAAATTACTTCTTTTCGTATTAGTTTGAGTCAACATTTATTGCGTCATAGAAATCGTGAAATTTTCTCAAGTATTAAAATTTAATGAACGTGTAAAATGGTTGTTCAAAATTCATAAATTGAATATTTCCTCGTTTGAACATAGCAAATCCAGCAAAGTGCTGTTTGTCACTGGTATTAAAAAATTAATACTTGACTGATGACGATATTAATGAGTGCGTATGTAATTTTTTTATAATATTATTAATTGTGAAGAAACTTCAATGCTTCTCTTAACATCTAGAAAATTCTATTTTTACTTCTTCATGTACCTCGAGTATAACGCCTCATATTCAAAGTTTTAGATTTGTATTAAAAAAACCCAACTGAATGAATACTGTTTTCAATAAAACAGTTCATTATAATCGATGAATAATTCAATTTCATCAATCTATAGCATTTAAATTCTCGATGATCGCTACAAAAAAAAATAATAATAAACACAAACCCGCATAAGAACAGTTCCAATCGCCAAAGGCCAATAAAATCATCAATATTGAATACATATACACAATCTCTCTACCCACACACGTGAATTTACAGTTAAGCTCGTGCTTAGCGCGTGTGCGTAAGTGCGATTTTCATTATACGCTTCTCAACAATAATATGCGCGCGCGCGCGCGAACGTCGAGTTATATTTCACGACTTGAAGACCATGTCGTATTCCATAAGTACCTTCCAATGATGTATGTACATGACACGATTTCAACCACGAAATGTGTGTGTATGTGCGCGCATATAGTGCCTATAACGTATGTTACCTAAGTGTAACCGCACAGTTACTCTCCTCGTAGATGCAAGTGCTGCTTATGTCCTTATGCTGCTGCTGCTGCTGCTGATAAATGATCGCTATAGACTTGACTATTGCATTATAAACTCGTTAAGAGATGCCTGCCTGCGCATGGCGCATGGCGCGCAGATGAAAAATCCAAATACGTACGTGTTCGAACGTTTCGTTCCAAGTATTTATTTACAAACATAATATATCCGAGAGAAATAATGTTTTGATAGTGTCTGGCTCGCATATAGACATGCAAGCGTATGCGTGACGATATTCAAAAATAATAATTCTCTTACTCTTATGATAGATCGGAGTGGATGAAATTTTTATTATATTCGTCGACGAGGAAATATTTTCTCTATCTCTCTCTCTCTCGTCTTATCGTCTCTTATACCTCTTCCTCGGCGTACATGTAATAACCCATTTTCATAAATTTCATATAGCAGCAGCAGCAGATGCCAATCACAGAGCTATAATAATATACACGTCAACCCTCGCGAATAAAAAAGCAAATACATGCACCGTTGTATCGAAATGTGCATCTGCATATACACATATGAAGTTTAAGTGCGCGACGTCCAAGTGAACGACCCATAAACCCAGATAAAATTGTGTAGCAGCAGCAGCACATCTTGACCGAGACCTACAGCTAAAATATACACTACTTATATATCGCGCCTTCGCGCGAATGGCCATCCGCGTTAATTATGTGTTTGTCTGTATGTGCTCGCGCGGCGCATACACAAAAAAAAACACCAGCGCAGAGACAGGTTTTTTGCGAAACTTTTGAGAACGCGCGCAAACACATGCGAGCAGCTGCACGTAGAGTAGCAGCAGCACCAGCTCCTTTCGTATTTTTTGAATTCAATCTGCGAGTTAGATTGAATTATATTGTTGGGTTACGTAAAAGGCAATAAGATTTATGGCGCTTAGCTTTTACAGATATATGTACGCATATAATATGTGGAAGATTGTATCGTTGCGTTGCTAATTTAACGATAATAAAGTTTTCAATCGCGGTAATGCAGGAAAGCTTTACAACTTATTACAAACGTAAAAAAGGATAATCATCGGGAGTTTTACTCAAATGTAAAAAGTTTCCTAACGACGATTTCTAACCGACAGTTGGATATCTTAATGAAATTAATATATTCCATGTAACATAGTTTTTCAATTGAAGTACACGATATTCGCATCGATCATTTCTATGGAACTTTTGCGCAGATCGTGCGCGTGGTAATTATATGCACGAAACGAACTAGTCGATGAATTATTTTTTAAGAGCTCGTCACGACTCCCTCAAAATTTCGTCATACAGAAAAAACAAGTGCTAAAACAATGATCACGATCGCTGGCCCCAATAAAATTACGATTCTCGAGTCTTCTGTTATTCGTTTTTTCGCAAAAACGTCATTGTCTCGAAAAATCGAATGACAAGTAAGTAGGAGAAGATCATCGAGGAGCTATAAGCAAAAATGCAAGGCTTCATCTGGTTGTTACTGGGGGCGCACGTCACCAGCAGCGCGAGGGCATTATTAATAACGCAATTCGCCTGGAAGTATTTAGATTACAACTGGGACTCGCAGCAGAGGAAAAATTACTTCGTGCAGAACGGACTTTACGATTACAGAAATCTCACGCCGATCGACGTTGATCAATCCGCAGGTAGATATACACACACAGACATAATGTAACGTTATTATTTATATATCTCAGCCTCGCAAGAACGAGCGCTACGCATACGGAGAGATAATTGTTTTCTTGTCGTCGTGCGTGCGTAGATGGCCGAACGTTCATTACGGTCATAAGAGGGCCAGGAGTACCGGCTTCCGTTCATACGGTATCGAATCGAGTCGATCGGGCCTCGGGTCCATTACTCGAGCCCTACCCAAATTGGTCCTGGTATCGGGACGAAATAGGCTGCGAGGGAATCATAAACGTCTACCGAGTGGCCGTAAGTGCCTCTGCACTAATTGCTCTGGACTCATTTTTTTGAAAATTCTCAAACACACTAGCATGACTTATGTTACACACACACAGATCGATAAGTGCCAGAGATTATGGGTGCTGGATACCGGTCTGAGGAGCGGATCGCACATCTGCCCGGCCAAACTGTTGGCCTTCAATCTGCGCGACAACAAATTGATCTACAAGACGGCGATCCCCGATAACGTGGCACAGAATCGCCAGGGTCAGGGTCAACTGGTCACGCCGATCGTGCAGTGCGAGCCCAGCCGTTGTCAGGATGTCAAAGTACAGAAAAAAGTCTTAAATCTCGATTACCATGTACAAAGCACAAAATAATTGTAATGAATAAAAGGTCTACATGGCCGACGTCGCGGGCTCCTCGGTCGTCGTGTTCGACAGCGATCGTCTCGGCGCGCACCGCATCGACGACGACTTTCGCGGCGTCTACACGGCCGAGCCGGCCCACGTCAACACCACCATAGCCGGCGAGTCGTTCACGCTGGCCGACGGCGTGCTCGGCATGGCGCTGAGCCCCCGCCAGAGTAACGGCGATCGTTACCTGGCCTTCCGGCCGTTCGCCTCGCTCTCCGTGTACTTCGCGAACACGCGGGAGCTGCTGCGGCCGCCACCCGCCAACTCGCTCGGTAACGATCGCCGCTACAACAATGTGCATTACTTGCGCGCGATCGACGTTCTGCCGAGCCAGGCGACGGCAATGGCGTTCTCTTCCGGCAACGTATTGTTCTACGGACTTACCAAGGAGATCGGCATCGGCTGCTACAATTTTCACAAGACCATCGGCGGCAGGAGGGATCGTTACCTCTTTGTGAGTGCAATATTATTGACGATCGTAAATCTTTTTTTATTGCATAAAAATAACATTGCCTTTTCATAATGTTTAAACAAAATGCGTTATTATCAGCTCTCATTGTGCAATATAATCGTCAATATTTTGATTTCGATATTTCTACTATGCAGAGAGTTCCTGTACAAGACTACGGAAGATTGCAATTCGTCAGTGGAATGAAAATCATCCAAAATCCCTCGATACCGGGAGGCGAGGAAATAATCACAATGTCGAACCGATTGCAGAAGATTTACGCGGGTACTCAGAACTTCAACGAGGTCAATTTTCAGGTTTCCAGGATCTCCGTGAAACACGCCATTCAAGGGACAATGTGCGATAGTAATAACAATGTGTAGGAAAATATGTGACGTTATTAAAAATTCCCCGCAGTCAAACGCGAGTAGAAATTTTTTGTTTCAAATTACTTCTGCTCGTGTTGACTCGCTATCATACGAGCGCAAAATTATCCAAATATATATGTAGAGATTATATATTTTATTAATAAAGCCTTGTGTAAATGTTAAGACCCGATTTTGAGGTTTCACAGAAATATGTAATAATTCAATTATAAATACGATTACAAAATTTATTTAAAAATTTGAAACAAACTTAGGAAATTAATTGAGCGTCCCTCGCAAACTTTCCGTGTAATCGTGTGGCTACGTGTGTTTGTTTTGGGATACACGATAACGCATTGCGCAGCGGCGCGCGTATATTGGCTCAGTGTGAATATTTTATCGTCGTCGCTGCACGATATTAATATTTCTCGCGAAAAGCATTAGCGAGCTCGGAGCTGGTTTTTTCATCAGTATTAAAAGTATTAACCCAGAGGCTGGAACCAACAAGGTTGACAAAAATGAAGACGTTGTTATGTTTCATCGCGTTGTTTCAAACGATTCTGGCTCTGTATTCTCCGCTCGTCACGTACAACCAGTGGAAGTATTTCGATTATGATTGGGACACTGTCGATCAGAAGAATTTCTATTTAAGGAATAATTTGTACGACGCTAGAAATATGACGCCGATCGACGTCGACGAGTCTCCCGGTAAGTGCGACATGAATTATTAGATGAGTATACGAACTTAGTAATCTTCGCACGTGGTTTCGTGATTGAGCGTAGGAAGTAGATTTTTCAATGACTATAATTTTCAGACGGTCGTGTATTCGTGACGATAATTAGAGCTCCTGGAGTACCAGCGAGTGTCCACACAGTTTCTAGCAGAAACGGACCCGGAGGGCCTCTTTTGAAACCCTATCCCGATTGGTCTTGGTACAGTAACCAGTGCAGCGGTATAACCAGCGTTTATAGAGTCGCTGTAAGTTTCAATTGTACATTTTTCGACGAGTGCTTAAGCAGCTTCAAAAATCGATGGTCATTTTTCAGATAGATAAATGCAACAGAATTTGGATTCTGGATACTGGAATGATCGGCGACGATCACGTGTGTCCCGCTCAGTTATTGGTGTTCGATTTGGCTACCAACAAGTTGATTCACAGACAGACGATACCCGACCAAATAGCGCGAAATCGAAACGGAGCTGGCCGACTCATAACTCCAATCGTCGAATTGGATGGAAATAATTGCAACCAATTTAATGCACGTCACCAATTAAGCCTATTCCTCTTGTACTAAATTTATTTGCTGCACCGATTTCAATATCGATTTCCTGTAATAGGTATACATCGCCGACGTGACCGGTCATGCTCTGATCGTGTGGAACGGCCGCGAGTTTCGTCGCATCGAGGGCGACGTGTTTCAGCCCGAGCCCCAGAACTCGCAGTACAGCATCGCGGGCGAGAGCTTCTACCTGGCCGACGGCATACTGGGCATGTCCATCTCGCCCTGGACGAAGCTGGGCGACCGATTTTTGGCCTTCAAACCGTTGGCTTCCAAATCGATGTACCTCACAACCACCAAAGAGATTCAGAACAATTTCAATAATCCTCAGAACATACAGTACATTAGGGGTAGATACGTGTTGCCGAGTCAAGCCTCGGCGATGGCTTTCTCGTCGACCGGAGTTCTGTTCTTCGGTATGACGCGAGAAATCGGCGTCGGTTGTTACAATATCGAGAATCCTTTGGTATCACAAAATATGGTAAGTCACAGAAGTAATTTCTCAACAATCAAAAAAATTTGTAATTCATTGTTTATTATTGATTATTTCAGCAAAGCGTCATCACGGATTACGACAGACTTCAATTCATCAGCGGAATGAAAGTCATCAATCACACTCCGGATCCGAAAAACGACAAATTAGTCATGATGTCGAATAGACTACAGAAAATCTACGCTGGAACGATGGACTTCCGAGACGTAAATTTCAGAATCACCTTAGCACCGGTCAATCAGCTGATCAAGGGTTCCATCTGCGATCCGAATTTCACGCCATACAGAAGTAAAAATTGAATAAGAGATTCGTTGTCATACATCGATTTAATTTCCAAAATCAATTAATATAATACAAAAGGGTTACACTTATAGACTTACAAAATAAAATTAACTTTTATATCAAATCTAGTGAGTATGAATAAATGCACTGCATTTACAAGTGTTTTAGCTTATCCAATTTTAAGTCTATTTGCCGTAGCTGGTGGCCGAGGCTTGAGCACTGGCCTGAGCGAAAGCCTGGCCACCTCCTTGTTGGTAGTATCTGTGGCAAAAGCAATTCGAGTTAGAAACTTGTGTAATCAGTGACAAATGTTACGTAAATTATTTTTCGAACTTACGGTTGCTGCTGAGCGCACGTGTTACAATAGCCCTGTTGGGGTCTGTGACCGCCACCACCGCCGTAAACGGGAACAACGTACACCGGTTGAACTTGAACGGGTTGGGCAGCTGAAAATCGTCAGTTTTTAATTACTTTTCGTGTCGTCTCGCTTTTTTTTGTGCATTAAACTTCTTCGTGTTTAGTTATAAGCAGTAAAGGCATGAATATAACTGCTTATTGCTGTCGAGTTATATTTTTGAAAGAAAATAAGAGATTTATCGATCCAAAATTTGTTTTGTACTCTAACAAGATTTATGGTAATCATAGGTGTGATCGTGGTTTTTGATTTTGAGCTTTTTGATTCCATCAACAGATGGCGTATCGTAAATTCGCAAGTGGCAAAACCTCTTTCGATTGATATAAATACAAAACAAAACAAAGTGTTTTCAACTTTAAGTTTTCGTATTCGTTCCTATCATTTCCTCATTATATGCCTGGTAAAAAATATCATCTAAGGATATATTAATTATAAACCCACAATATTATTGTCTCGTCTTCAGGATATTTTATATGTACGCGAAGATTGATGAGTTACGTTAGACTATGTTTTATATGAGAAGGTAAACTTACGATAATAGCCACCTCCGCCCCCGCAGCCTCCGTTACAGCCGCCACCGCCGCCGCCTTTGTGGAACTTCTTCGCCTTCATCTCCTCGACCATGCACGACAGGCAGATGTGCCTCTTCCTGCGAACCTTCATGAGTTTTCCGGCCTGTTCGATTTCGCTCTCGTCGCGTTTTTCCTCCTCCGCCTTCTCTTCGCTCTTCTTCTCGGAGTTCTCGGCCGCGCGCTGAATCGCGTTCGACAGAGAGCTGTCGATCTCCGCGGCGTCGACCAACGTCTCGGCGGACTCGAGATTCACCTTGACGATGCGAGTCTGGCCGTGGTACTGGACCTTCTCGATGTCGAAGCCCTCGGCTTTGAGGTCCTCGGCCACTTCGTCCAGATCCACCGGGTGATCCTCGTCTTTGTCCTCGACGACGAGCAAGAATACAGCGAGAGGTTCTGAAAACGAGATATTTTCATGTGAAACTTCTTATGGAACATATGGTTAGTATGTACCGTATCCGCAAAGAAACGAGTGGGTAAAATCGTCAAACACATTTAAATTTAGCTATTTACTTTTTTCTATTTTCAATGCTTTTAAATTGAATTTATTTATTTGCTGCTTATAGTCTTATACGTAGCGAAATTGAAAGAATTGATTTTCCAAAACTCTTTTTGTATTAGAACAAGATCTATTGTAACCAGAAGTGTCATATTTGATTGTGAGCTTCTTAATTCCATCAACAGATGGAGTATAGTGCATCCGCAAGTGGCGAAAAAGTTCCGGATTAGTATAAGTACGAAACATTAAAGAACATTTTTATTATAATTTGAATTTCTTATCTCTGCCTTAGAGGAGTTTGATAAACAAAGAAAATTCGCATAGCCTATTGAATATTTTCCTCGCGTCTCTTCTGCGTATCTCTTTGAATAACAAGTACGCGCGTGCAGACGACAATATTATTACTTCTCTAATAACACAGTCGAGTCAGATCTCCTTGGATGAGTAATCGACAATCATCGAGAGAAATATATAAAAACGAATCTATTTCTTTGATATCAAAAGCGATAATTGCGGGCTGAACAAAAACAGAAAAGAAAAATCGCACGAATTAAGAGGAATCACTCACCATCGACGTCTTTGGGCACCTCGTCTATAATTTCGTTGTGCAACACGTCGTTGTCGTCCTCGGCCGTGTGGTTTTTTACGGCGTAAACATTGATGAGAAAGAGCGCCAGAGGATTTTTTCTCTTCAGCTCGAGACTGGTGGACTCGGTCGCGTCGCTGGGCAGAGGTGGCGGCACCAGATCCGTGGCCAAGGTCGGCAGGCCATCGTCATCGCCGTTGAATTTCGGGGGCAGCAATTCCGTAGCCGGCGTCTGGGGCAGATAATCGTCCTCGAACGGAGGCAATAATTCTGCAATCGGCGAGAGAAAATTTTATGGTCAAGATTTTTCCGCAAAAGGCACGTCATCGACGAGAATATTTGTAATAGTATAATATTTGTGCAGAATATAACGTGCGAGTTCCATCATAAAAAAAGATGCGCCTATATTAGCAATTCTAATGGCGATTCGATTAGCATCGTCGGGACGCACTTTTCATATTTTAAGAACCGCAGCAGCAGAGAAGTGAGATATTTTTATATCTCGTGCGATTGATACTATTGTGCTAAAAAAATTTTTGTTTTTTTTCGAAAACGAAACTCGATCCGCACTAGACACAAAAAACATTTATATAGTCTCGCACAGTCTCGAGAGCCATATAGATAAACACACACCTGTTGCTGGAACGGGTACGTCTACGGGCAGACACGTGACACCGACGACGAAAAAAATCGCCGCCGTGGTCCAGATCACTGACCACGACATCTTGCGCTGCATGTGCATATATAATCTAAACTCGCGACAAGTCAACCGTGTATACAGAGAGAGAAAAAAACCGAACAAAGACAAAAGAGCGTCCGCTAGAGTATCCGGTGAGAAACGCACTGCGAGCAGCAGCATTTGAACTTGCCGCTTTTATAGTAAAAATAGTCGGCTTTGTGGTCGATGCATGCAGTGATTGCGTAATAATATAATATGCACGCGCGTGGCAAGTTCGCGCGAGCAGCGATGAGCATCATTCAATCATACATAGACATATTATAAGTATTAGACAAAACTCGAATGTAGCACCGAGTTTTTTTCGAGGGATTTTCCCGCGGCGTCTGAGGATTCACGCGCGAAAGAAATAGATATTCGGCTTTACGCGTTTCACGTCGAATCGCGCAAAAGCAGTACGATTATTAGCTCGTTAAAAACAAACCGGCGACTCTCCTAATAAGCCGGAAAAAAACTTGATACTTTTTCATCGATGATGACAAGATAAATGATGAATTAGGAGGAATCGCGTCAGAGCTCTCGAACGCGTGTATAATGTGCGAAAATCGCGTTGCATTATATATGCTTTTCGAGGAAATCGTCGAGCGATAACAACGATTTTTAGTTTTTCCGGCGGGTATTGTTCAATCAATCTGGAATACGACGCGGGGTTTTTCACGTTTTGTTTTTCAACTCTTCTTATAATGATTCGGCAAAATCGCTATAGTATAGTATTCAAATGAACAATTAATTTTTCTTTAAACAACAAGTTTTTTCATTCCAGGATCTTCTGAACAAATTTTCAATAATATTATTGATGTCATTGAACCATGAAACAATCGGTCTACAATACAATAACATCCTATATCTGTAATAAAATAATAATATTTTCTAGAGTCTAACCGAAGATGAGCACTTTTTGTCCGAAGCGCAGTTCTCGAGGAAAATCAATAAACTGAGAGGTCAAAGATACTGCAATAGCGACGGGTGAAAAAAATTTACCTGCCATAGTAGCATAAACTTTTAGCCCGAAGGCGCATAGTTTTTGTATCCTCTTCTTCTCGAAGAATTGATTTATGTAAAAAACAAATAAAACATCATAACTGTTGTGAACCTTACAAAATATCTCAAAACATCGAGCGATTATACATTCATCGACCATATATCCTTCTATATATATCCGCATAAAAGTCCTATATTATCCTTTTTCTCGCTTTCGAGCGTGCATCCCTACTCGAGCGAACTCTTCCTGTTGACGTTCGCGGAATGTTAATCCGACACTCGTGTATAGCCTTGGATTTATCTGGTGCAATACATAGTAGTGGTCGTCGTCGGCTTGTATAGGTCCACACGCAAAAATTCACTTTACTGCTAATTCGAAGTTACGAGCTCTTTCTTGCGCCTTCGCGTATACTGTACCGAGCGGCGCGGGGTAGTTACAGGCCTTTTTTGCCGCGGCGCGCCACGATAAACCGTCGTGCCTACGCTGCTGCGGTTTCTTCGCTTTTCAAGAGCGCATTTACGCTGCAAACTGCGATGCTCCTCCATACTGCTGCACTTGTTGCTGCGCTTCGCGGCGTGATCTCTCCATGACGCGCTACGAGATGAAATTTTATTTTATTTTTATTATTATCATTATTATTTTTTTCTTTTCGTCCTGGAGAATTCGTAAAAGTGATGAGCTCGGAATAATATATAATTGCGTTGGAAATGAGTTCGGCCGTGATCGAATCCAGCCGCGGTATTGGTGTGTGGCTGTTCAATAACACATTTTAATTAAGAGTAATTAGCTTTGTCATTCGGTACGCGCGAGTTTGATTCACGCGCGAGGACAGTTTTGTATTTTTCACGCGATGAAAAGCTGATTTATTATCTCTTTTTGATGCGATTTTTGGTATCGAGCGAATATTTACCTTATATAAACAATCTGCGGAGCAATTTTTATGAACTTTCGAATAACGATAACGTATTGACGAGCGCGTGATAAAAGTCAAGAAAATCGAGACTTTTCCTTGTTGATATTTTCTCCTCGCGTGCAAGTGGCTTATGTGCAACGATGCTATTTTGCATCAAGTAATTATATGTAAACATTGTATTTAAACGAATTTAACAGATTTCTATCTTGAATAATCAGAATACACAATGTAAGAAATAAAAAACTTATTTGTATACAGCTCTGGCGTTCATCGATTATGAATTTCTTCTTTACACGAAGCCCCATATGGGCAAAAGTGACCCTGTAAAAATCACCACGATCGATAAATCACGATTGTTTATGAAAAACGTGGCAAAATTCATCAATCCCATAATTAATTGACCATAAAAAGTCCCATTGTTTTAATCATATTATTCATCCTTTTCTAAACGCGAGATTAACGATAATCTCGTGAATCGTCGTCATTTGTTATATTACCACGAGATGCGTCCGAAATACTACTACGCACGAGTACGATTCACTGCACAGCTCACACACACAATCGTGGATATCGTAATAACGAGCTTGTTGTTGTCTCGTTCGCCGAGATCTTAAGAGCACCTGATTAGATCACCGCAGAATCCTTGAATGCGTATATAGGCGCATCTTCACCTTAGACAGTGTTTTATTTTTAAGTTACGATTGGCGTGATATAACCATACCGCGCGTTATGCATAAGTCCAGCTAAATATGGCACATGAAAAATCGCCAGTTCCCGTTTCGATATGTGTGGAGATGTTAATCTCTTGCCTGGTGTTTCTTTTGTCCTTAAACTTAAGAAAAAAATTAGATTCGCATCTTACGCAACGCAATATCTTTCGATTCTTACCACCTGTAGATCTGTGGACCAGTGGTCGGTAACTGGGTATCCAAGTTTTATCCTTGGCAAAACGAGATGTCGCTTTGAAAGCCTCGAATCCAAGGTCAGGGTCAAGTGCACAGTTCGAGATCGTTAATACATTATCAAGACCTTCGACCGGTCGTGTATGTCGGTCACGGATTCGTCCGCGAGTGCAGACATGAAAATTAATCTCGTCGATCAAGTTTGTTTCTTCAATGGTATAATGCAAATTGAAAGAGTATCTTCTTCGAGATTAATGAGCAAAGTCGAATGATGCGATTTTAAATGTGGGGTTTACATGCTTGATTAGTTTTGAATGTTATTTCAACCGCGGGGTAAACCATTTTTTAATCTCACAATTTGCAATGATGTGACAATTGCGAAAAATATGATTCGTACTTTATCTTATAAGTTATACCTGGGTAAAGAGCGAGTCAAAAATGAATGAAGTAAATTATTTAAATAAAAAAATTGTCATGCAAAATTTATTAAAAGAAGACAGCAAGCTTAACTTAAAACTAAACTATTTTATTACATCAACATAAATTTGAATGAGTTCAGTTTATCGAGGCGACTTTCGAAAACTAACAGTACACATGTACTTTTGAATATAGTCGATTAATGCCCGCGCACAGGTTGAATTTTGATATAATACTGATTGAAGAATTTTCATTCGAATCCGATTTAAAAAGAATTTAAAATCGAATTGTCAAGCGTATGCTCTATATGGCAGCACATATACATGTAGTAAAAAATTAAGAGCTGTATTCGCCGCTCAATTCTCATTTTCGCCAACATCCACAATTTCTTTTTCGTCTATTCATTCTCACTCTGGACTATGTACAAAGAAACACACATTAATATCGAATTTATCCTAAATGTCAAAAAAATCTACAATTTTTGAAATGACAGTCTCTACGGGTCCTTTTTCGTCGTCGTCATCTTCTTCGTCCTCGTCCTCGTCTTCATCCTTGTCTTCATCCTCGTCCTCATCCTTATTGATTTTTTTCAGCTGTTTACTCCTCACGAATTCCGGAGGTATTATCTGTTCCGCGGGAACGAAAGAAGTCGAAGGTAGCGCATTGGCAGCCGCACCAGTGGACGACGAGCTTGCGGAGGCCGAAGCTTGCGCTCCGGAAGCGGCTCCACCGGCCGAGGCTGAAGCAGTTGCGGTCGCCGAAGCCGTGTTCGAAGAAACGACTGGACTCAAAACCGGACCCGTTGCAGTCGCAGAGCCTTGAGAGTGAGCTTCGGCATGTGAATCCGATGTCGACTCAATAAGATTTTGAGCTGGACGTTCCTTTCTAAATTGTGAGAAAAATCGATCGATGAAATTACATTAATCAATCTATTGGACGACACATTTGGAACATTAAAAACAAATAGATAGAAAAAAAAGTGTCCTCTCGTGCATCATCCTCATATGTTCAGGCGACGATCAGGCACATACCTACCCTACACTGAGCGACAAGCCACCGGGTCTGCCGTATTCGTCGCCGTAGTATCCGTCCGATCCTCCCTGATTGTAATTCGGATTGTAGCCCTGCTGAGAGGGATAGTATTCTCCAGGCTTGGAGACGACGACCCTCGGCCCTCGGCAGCGGGGATCTCTCTGCCAGCCCTGATAGTCGCAGGGATCCCTGGGCTCCTGGACGTCATAAAAGGGACCGTTGCCGTTGCCGCCGGGACGGTAGTGCTGACGGTCGCCGTCGCTCACGGTCACGTGAAGCCTTGGCGCGCGATGCGGATTGTAATAATTGCCTGCGACCGAAATAATTGCCCGTAAAATTTTATTATGTCATTGCGTTTCTCGTTAACTCTTACCGTAACCACTGCCATAGCCGGGGTAGCTGGGGTAGTCTCTGTTCGGACGATGTTGCGCGGCTCCGTTGTGAGCGTTGGCGTTGGCGTTAGCATTGGCGGATCCATGGCCCAGGGCGTAGGCGTTGCCCTGAGCATGGGACTGAGGGCCGAGCAGAGGTCCGTTAGAGGCCAAGGCGTTGGAATTGGCCGCGGAGATGCCACCTGGGCCGAGTGCCAGTGCGTTCGCTTGGCTCGCTGCTAACGAGCTGTTTCAAAGAGACAGAGAAACGAGAGGTTGTTTCGATCGTCGTAGATAATAGTAACGAAGAGCAGTCAATGACTCCGCGCGATGGCTCATATAGGCACAGTTAGTTTTGTAAACATACATCGCGCGAATATGTGTTCCAAAAAAAAAACAGTTGGCCAATACATTTCCATTTATGACTCATGCGCAACCGACTGCGCAAAAGCTGCTCGAAAGAACGAATGAATTTACCCAGCGCCGGTGTTGGCTGCCTGACTGGAGCTCTGAGCCACTCCGATGCCCTGGGGTCCACCGGACACGCTGAATGTCTGCGCGTTGCCTCCGGGAGCACCTAGGGCGAAACTCGCCGAAAACGGCAGGAAACGCGCCTGGCCTGGGTTGTCGTTGGCTTGATGACGGCCGTGCGTGGCGGCGGCATCTGCAATCATCGTGTGCGTGACTCGTGTGCGTAAAAACGTTTACGTATAGTATATATTATATAATAGTTCGTACGACACTTTTTTTCTCTAGCCACAAAGTAGAGTGATTCCATTTTTAGCGTATAGAGTTCCTTTCGCACAAAGCCAAAAGTATGATGACGGATTTAAATTGGCATTGTATAGCCTCACGCATTGTTATCGAACGACACACTTACGTACAACACACTGTTTGAGTCGCAATAGTCTCTCTCCTTTTTTTAATTACGAACCGGCTCCGTTTCAGAATCACCGCGAGCGCAAACTATATATTTTTCTATTTTTCCACTCGTACGCGAAAACTCGACTTTTTGCGTTTATCTGACGCGCGCGGAAAGTGCTGATCTTGCAGGCTATTTTTACGACGCCTGCGAGTGCGACTTTACGATTTTTACTTGGCTAACCGACGTTTTACTTCGAGGCTCGAGTAACGCTAACTCCACTTGTACATAACGATAAAAAGCCCTGGTGGAAATGCTCAACCTTAATTATGGCCTGATGACTAAACAATGAAAATTTACAATTTTTTAAAATGTATACTCATTATTTGGCTTGGTTTTGGCGATTTTTACGATACAATAATGTTAAAAACAATAAGTACATTTTAAATAACCTGATAATAACTATTTTTTACCGTTTCAAAAAATTTAGATCAGATTTCGACGACTTTGAATATGACAATACCACTTTAATCTTTCACCACTAGATAGCGAGTACCTTTATCTTTAAATTTACAAGTTGCAAAGTTGCAATAATTGTGCATTTTTTATGAGTCAAAAAATGGTTTTAAGAAATTTAGCGATCATATTCATAGCTTTTACGATCCTTCAATATTTGAAATGTACCAAATTCTACTTTCGACTTTTACCACTAGATGACGAGTACCTTTATCTGTAAATCTGCAAGTGGCAAAGTCAAAATAAGTGCATATAAGTGTACACTAACTAGGAGGTGTTTGATGATTAACGATTAATTTGATGATTAAACGTGGCATAAGCCAAAAACTAACCATAAGATGCTAAGTATTTTCATCATTTGTAAGGCTCTTTATAAAAATTGAAATTTTCCTTCCTTCATACGGTATAAGGCGAGGATATTTTATAGCTCGATCACTTCACTGAATCGTCGGTTTCTTTTGCAGCCGACCGCTATCTATCTTATACTCGAAATCGCCACTGGGAAAATCCAGGCGAATTCGCACGCGGAAATCACTACCAAGGAAAGAACACTTCACAATTTTCCAAAAGAAATAATCACCACTTACCGGCACGGGCCAAGAGCAGCAGCAGCAGCAGCGCAAAAGCCGCAGCGCAGCGGAAAATCGTCCCGAATCGCGTCATGTCGACTAGACGCTCACGAGATAGCAGCGAGTCTGGAGATGCAGCAAGGAGCGCGCGTATTTTTATAATAGCCGCGCCGAGAGATACGACGACGCGCCGAGAGCTGAGCCGTGCGAGCAGGACTGCACCGCACGCAGGTGAGGCTCGACCTTAGACACCTCCGTGCAGTGACGTGTCTCGTTGTTGTTGTTGTTGTATGCGAGCTGCGCGTCCGGCAGTGGATTGGCATTCTTGGTCGCCTCGAGAGCCCCTCGAGCGGGTGTCTCGTTCCTCTGGCTCTGCGGCTATGGGTGTGGGTATACTATACACGGGTACACGAATGGGAAGGAATCACTTGCACAACGCACCCGCGCGAGAGCCGAATGGAAGGAACGAGCGAAAATTTCACGCCTGTTACGCGAGAGATAGCTAGAGCTCTGAGTTATGGTAGGCCCATAATACGATAGCGATCGGAGGTGGCATTACAATTGCTGCATTCTAATGCTGGACGGTTTGCATCACTCGTAACAGGTTGGGAGAAACCCCCTGCGATGTCGGCAATTCGCTAGTTTGCGTCGTGCTATCGGTGCGCGTACCAATGCCTATGTACGCATACGTACGTACGTTGTATATCCGAGTCCGTGGCGAGTGAAAATCAATATTACACGTGAGTGCGCGGCACACTGCCCGACTCACCGCTGCCACCATACTACACTGAGACGCAGACAGACGTAAATCGAGGCCTTGAGAAATCCCGAAGCTTCGCCGATACTGGGCTAAGGTTGACCGGTTGAGCAATATGCAGGCAAGCTCCGCGTGTTTTGTGTATATCGCTCGAGTATATAAACACTCGCGTGCGTGCGGAACTCGATATTTTTTCGTGCGTATACGTATTTTGAGAGGAGCTGCTTCAAAACTCGAGGATGTATTATTGTAGTAGACTGTTTGCGAATTTTAAATCAAACGATTAAACAGCTCGATGCGTGTGATCGTGTTCACGCTCGGCGAACGTGAATAAGGTGCTTTTATACATTTGACCTAGAATCGATTATAATCTTGGAAAATCCAATGAGTAAACAAGCGCGTTTGGATTAACTGATCGCGCGAACGTACGGGAAAAAAGTGGGAATTCTATCATAAAAAATCTCGTAGTAGCAATTAAAGTGCTTGATTTTGAATGATAGACTTATGGCCCGATCGTGAGAGAAAGTATCGCCTGTATTGTACCGTTTATTTACTTTGCTCGACTGTCAAGCTAATTGATTATAATGTAAGAGGTTTTCTAAATGATTTTTGAATATCACTTTTTTTATTTTTTTCCTAATGGCTGTTTATTTAAAACTCAAACACTACATTATATAATACTTAAAAACTATACACAATCACAAGTATTCCTTAATATACTCGACAATTGCTTACAACAAATAATCACACACTCACACACGATTCGCTCGCACCAAACACATACAACAATTACACCCTTAAAAATTATCAGTCGAATGAAAAAACAATTTAAGCACTAGTCTGAGTCGTCGCGACTTCTTCGGTGCTCATCTCCTCGACGACTTCGGTGGATGTTTCCATTGGCTCGACGGTCGTGGGATGCACGTGCATCTCTTCGCCCATTTTTTCGGTGACGGCGGCTTGCTCGGCTGTGGTGGTGACGGCGGCTTCAGTGCTGGTCACGGTGCCCTCTTCGACGTTGTTGTTGCGGATCTCGACCTCGACTGGTTTCACGGATGACGAAGAAACGACCATTTCTTCAGCTGCAGCTGTCGAGGAGGAGACAGTTTCTTCGGATGTCGAGGGGACGACGGTTTCAGCGGAAACGATTTCTGCGGATTCCGTGACGACTTCTTCCTTGGGTGCGCTGGTGGTCGAGGTGCTTGTTGATTCACTGGACATGGAGGCGGTGGTGGATGTGGTGGTGGTGGCATCATCGCATGGTGGTTTCAAGAATTGATGCTCTAAAGAAAACAAGAAAATTTCATTTTATAAATTACCGATTACGCTTTTCAACATTGACCATATTGATAAATAATGACAGAAACAAAGCTTACCTCTCAGCTGTTTGAAGTACTCGATGAGTTTCTGCTGAGTAGCCTCGATCTCGGCGAGCCTCTTCCTCAGGCTCGACTGCAGATCCTGAGCGCCGAAGAAGCGCACCAATTTCGGCACGACTGGGTTACTAGCCGGCAGAGCAGGTAGCTCCACGCTCGGGAAAGGAGGCACAGTCCAGCCGCTGGCGATCTGTCGCTTTTGCAGAGCCTCGACGCGATCGTGCAGGGCAGCGTAGCCACCGTGCAGGAACGATCTCACTGTTTTTCCCTCCCTCATTTGGGCCACAGGACTCGCTAAAATTTTTTTATTCAATAAATAAATTTATTTCTCAACTTTTATGTATAAAATCAACGGGTTGAGAAGTGCGTTTAACGTACCGTAAGCGACTGCGAACAAAAGAGCAAACAACGTGCACGCTACGGCCTTCATGATTGAAAAATATAAAAGTACACTTTTAATGCGATGTATTGAACACGAGATAAAAGTATTGACTGATCCCCGCTGGACGAGTGAAACTCTATTTATAGGATCCCAAAATCCTTCTTGTAGATTCCATCTCCAAATCTCAAATCTCTATAAAAGTTCAAAGATCCGCTATTGGGAAGGAAAGTAGACCTCGCGTGTACGATTTTTACTCTTCCTATGAATTTTTCGGATCAAAATAAAAATAATTAACTGGATCCACGTGTAGAGAAAGAGAAAGAGATGGAATGAATTTGTCTGTATGTACCTGTTCCGCGGTAAAATGTAACGTTATATTTGGTATTTTTTTGAATATTATATGACGTGCGAAGTTTGCCGATCGGTTTGCGTATTGCTCGACGTAAATTAGCAGAGAATTCGTTCTTTTGTTCGATGTATGACGAAAATAAAGTTTGCAAAAGTCCATCGAACTCTCCTCACGGTACTCACTATTTTTCAATGATCTTACGTACCAAGTGTATTTTTGTCAAATTTATTCTAATACGTACTTTTCGAAACGTTAACCCCTTGCACTTATAATCTCGCTTGATTTAATTGAAAAACGAAATAACAATTCGCATTGATTATGATGGAAGGCGCCGAAGTAATTTTCGAATGAATTTCTCTAATTTTAAAAATAGACATAAGATTTTCATATTAAAGCTTATGCTCGTTTGAAAAATAATTTATCCTTCTACACAATCAAAGGCGCAGGAAAAATACGAGAGAAACATGCTTGATCACGAAAATATATTTTACCAAGTATTTGAATCGTAATTTAATTCTAATGGCCGAAAAAATTCGATTTCTATGCTACGAGTGTTCTAGACGCTTTCACCCGAAATTTGTGCCGCGCAAATTCATTCTAATGTATTGACTTCTCTATAGTTTTATAGACCAGTCGAAATCTGGGTCAAAATTTTTATTTTCTGTTTTAACCTGAACGACATTCTTCGATTTGTAAGTGAGAAATTCATTGAATCGTGTGAAAAATTAATCCTTACTTGTGAATTTATATAGAAAAAAAATGTACGATAAACAATTACATCATCGATTTTTATCATTTTTATTTATAAAAAATACTTCTCCGAATGATTATAAACATTACTAGGGGATAATTTGCCCTCCAGGAAATTCGTCTTTTTTAACCACACGTCTAGACTTATTAATGCTAAATATATTCATCAATTTTTGATGCAAATTCTCTTTGCTGCTTTTTTAATTACTCGTGATACTAGTGCCGATCTGTGGTTTATTCAAACCACTTTACCTGCGTAATGTAGCGCCGCTTACCCGGTAAAATAACTTCGAGTGATCTGTATTATCGGCTTCAGTAAATACAAATATGGTTTATCTTATGTTAATATTAATACATTTTTCACGGCATAGTTTCTTCAAGTGATGAAATTGTCAACGAATAAAACCCGAGCCTTGAGATAGATTTGAAATTTTCCAATATAATTTTTGAATACTGCCACATAACAATAAGAATGTGTGAATGACGAGATTACATTGTTGATACTTTCGAGCTCATTATATGATGTTCCGTGTCTACTTATGCACCATCAAATACGAAAATTAATATTTCCCTCCTTTTTTTCGATGACTTGTTATTATCGACGCAAGCATCGACGGTAATTGCGAGCTACAACGCCAGCACCGACGCCTCCTCCTCTCGAAAAGTTTTGTTCACATGCGTAGCTGGAAAAAACGTGCTTTAATTGTCTATTGGCGGCTCGTTCATTCTTCATTTTATCAAATGTCTATAGGTGTTTTGAGAATTTAAGTTGTAAGAGCCGGAAGACATTGTAAATTTTTTTGAAAAAAGGTCAACTGTCGATTGTCAAGAGAGCCTAACAAACTTACATGCTTATCGATATTTGCGCGAGGCCAGAAATTTATTACTTGGCGCCTTAAGGATAACTTGAAATAAAATATTTTCATTTTCATCGATGTTTATGAAAAAATAGCAAATCTTAACTTTGATGCTCTTTATCGTCCGTCAAGTCGGAAAAATTATAATTGCTCGACGCTGGCGTCGAATTAGTTTCCACGAATGTGCAACATTTTAGCCGAGAGATGACTTCGCTCTTGAGAGCATTAGTTATTCGATTTATAAACGAGCCGTGTTTTGAACGTACACAACTTTTTTGAAGGGTACCAGTGTTGAGGTCGCGCGAAACCTTAAGTAAATTTCAATTAGAAGAGCCTTGAGCGGTTGTACGTTGTCATTCTCCGTAACGCCTCTGTTCGACAAATGCCGTACACGACTGTCTAAGACGTATAAGTACAAAGTTTTGGCACAAGATCGTAAAGTGTAACGGGATCCTTACGGATAGTGCGAACAAGAGGCCATGAATCATAACTTGGGATGTTCCAAGCCTGAGAGTATTTAAAAAGAAAAATATCCTTTCATTACGTGACGCACATGATATAATAGAAATTGTATCGATTTAGCGGGTATACACAAAGGCAATTTTTTTCATTCAAATTTGTTTTTCGATGAAAAAAAAGAAGCATCGAGCTCTCCGCAAGCTGCAGTTGGTGATTCAAAAACACGACCTCGTGCGTATAGATCGGAGATCGAATTAAATGACTTTTTGGCGAAAATTTTTGTCGATTAATCACTACTATAGCCCCCCTCGCTTGGGCCGAGAAACCGTCAGCTGGCTGTCATCATCCAACGTGAGCTTGCAATAAAATTCGCTCGAATCAAAAACATGATCTCAGTCTCTGTCGAAGGCACTTTTACAACCCCACGGTGCGTGTATACGTGCGTCTATAAGCGCGCCGATGATCGGTCATGACTATTTCGGTTACATATTTTGTATTTATTTTTTTTTTCATTTTGCGTGCGCACATCTCTCCTCTAGGAACTACAATAGTTAACGATCTCTCGCACTCATTGTAAGCGACGAGTCGACGACGACGCGAACGACGATTCGACGTGTTTTGTACGTGTGTGCGAGTCTGCTGTATACAGCTTCGCGCGAAGCCGGCATTTATTATCGGAGGCGTGTGCGCGAGGAACTCGACGCTATATAAGATGATCGCGACTCGCGCCAACTTAGTCATTCAGCTGTGAGAACCGGACGCTCCGCACACAACGAGAGCTCCCAAGACCCGAAGGAAGAAAAACATATAAATAAATAATATATTGAAAATATAAACTCGTTGTTTTGTTTGCCATCGAGGCGACAAAAAATAAGCCAAGAAATCGACGAGTGTCTCTGATGATAAGTTCAGCGAGGATACGACAATAATAACCAATACACCATGGCAGCCAAAGTGATTTACATGACCCTGGCCTTGCTGCTCGTCGCCGCGCAATTGGGCACGGGTGAGTACATCTCTCGTTCATACACCTCGACACTCTTTTCTATTTTGTTTTTCATTGTTGACCACGATCTCGGTATTTTTTCTTGTTTTTTTTTTAATCGATTCTTTATCAGAGCAAAACACGTTCCTTTGTCAAAATTTGCTAGCCGATGTTTAATTATAGCTCATTGAAATTGGAGTCGCTTCCTGTATACGTGACTATGGAAGATGTGCCTTCGACTTTTTATGACGAAGGTCGAGGTCGGAGAATTTGCAAGTCTCTCGGATCGTCAAAGTTTATACTCGAGCACGATATATACCACATCACTACCGGTATCGCTACTTCTCGATCTTGAACTTTGAAGAGAATAAAAATAAAAGCTTACAATTCTCAGCGCGCACGAAACAAATGTAATAATAAATTATTACGCTAATCGGGAAAAATGATTATTACCACATAATCGCATAAATAAGAATTGCGATCTCTCTGCAGCAGAGAGAGAGAGAGAGAGAGAGATGAAGCATGTAACATGTTCGCATATTAATCATAGACACATCATCGATAAACATTTCATGTATCGCGCCGCCGCGGCAAGTCGAGCGTGAAAACTTATCGATATGCTGCATTACACGTACAAAAAAAACGAGTTCGTTTGCGTAAATCCACTGTGTGTGTATATAATAATAACGAGTGCCGATAATCGATGTGAATCAGCAGTATATACACCTACTCTGTCACTCATGTGTATCCAACATAATTCAACAGAGACAGAGACGGGGCAACAACAGCAGCGGCAAAAAAGCTATTCTTTTGTATCTCGCAGGCGTGTTTGAAAATCCATCCGTATGCACACACTGACACCGAGGCGCGCGCGTTGAACGAGAATAGTAATAAAGACGTCTTTTTCGCGGAGATACGTGTAACGAGCTTTCTATTATATATCCGCCGAGCGCAATGTGTTTGCTCGGTTATAACGAGTTAGCTTGCGAGGCGCGAGCAGGCGAGGAAATGTGTATGAACAATTTCGCAGCGCAGCATCAGCCCTCGGAGCTCTGCAGAGCGTTAACCTTGACACTCGCGCTGTTTCTTTTACGCCGTACATTATAATACGTATACACATCGCGAGAAAGAGAGAGAGAGACGAGTCCTCGCCGCGCATATTTTCTCTCCTCGAGCTGCACTCTCCCTCTTGTTCGCGCGCGCGTTGCAACCATTGCCGAGATGTATAAGCTCTTTTTTCAATAATATATCCTTGCGACTTTGTTCGCGCAGGATATATTTATTTATTTATCTTTTCTTTGCAATGGTCTGTACCGCACATATATAATGTGTACGAGTGCAGTGTATCGAAGCTACCTGCCATACAGCAGAATTTGGCTACTTCGATCATGCCTATAAAATGATGCCCATACCCGCTCGATCTCCCGCGAATGTACTCGGAAATGTACACAATTTAACATTGTTCTCATCAATTTAATTTTCGAATAAAGTAAATACTCTCGAATATTATAAACACTAATAAGTGATATACAAATGTACTATGGCTAAATATACAAATCGCATGACGAAAAGTTACGTTTGCTAAAATTATGCAATGCACTGCCATCGTCACTTTTTAAAGTTAAATAATGGCTTTAGAATTAAAAATCCATAAAAATACACTGAATCTAATATTGAAAAATTGAGTAAGTAGAATAAAGATGCCATTTCTACTGGATTTTTTTTCAATCCAATATGAATCTCGATCGTCGCTTCTCCATTGAAGTCACAAAAAAAATGACATCGCACACACATACACATCAGCATCATCCATACGCGTCTATAACTCGAATTCACTTTTCCGCTTATGCTTTATCTTCTATTCTGCGCTAAAAGGCAAATCGGTGGACAATAAATTACGGCTGAAACGCCAAGAGCCAGCGGCGGCGGCCGATCAAGCAGCAGACACCACGACGGCAACGGCCGACGAAGAAACGACCACCTTGGTTGCTCCCACCACCACCGACTTGCCGGATTCGGAATCCGCCGATTCGACTACCCTCAAGCCCGACGATCAGGACCCGATCACCGTCCGACCCTTGGCCAAAGAGGACAGCAAGTCGAGCAAACAGAAGCCGAAGAAACCGATTTCCGATCGCATCGGTGCCGACAACGGCGCCACGGCGTCTCCCGTTGCGGGCAAAGGTATCTTGAAATCGCCCGAGACATCATCGCACAATCGCGTAGTTCCACCGATGAGTCCACCGAAGCAGCACGACTTTTATTATTACCCGGGCGTCGACACGGGCTTCATCAATACCATACAGAATCATCCGCATCTTCTGGATCTGCCTCAGTCGTACTACGACTATCATCCGAACGTCATAATCGCCACCGATCAGTCACCCGAGCCATACTTCTATCCTCACCCGTCTGGTCCAGCTTTCAGCGAAGGCGGCTCGAATTTCGCGGCTTCCGCAGCCAGCTCGAGCTCCGGGCCCCAGGGTGGACACGTGTTCGCCGCCACTTATCCGGGACCCGACGGAAAACCAGTCGTGCAGAGCAGTAGTTGGCCGGGCCCTGGTGGCGCCGCCGTCAACGCCATCGGCAACGGACCCAATAACGCAGCCTCGGCGTCGGCCTCCACCGGTGGTCAAAAGCCTCTAGCGGGTGGAAAGCCCCTCGTACCCAACTTTAACGGTGGCGTCAACGGCAACAGCGCCAGTGCATCGGCCGGTGGTTTCGGCTCGCGAATAAACACCGCTAGCAGCAGCAGCGGCGGCAATGGCAACGGAAATGGCGTCAAAGTTCAGACCTCGCCGAACGGCGTGTCGGTCAGTAGCAGCGCCAGTGCCGGAGGTGACAACGGTGTCAACAGTATCGGCATTCGTGGCTCGTTCGGCGGCGACGGAGATTCCGTCGGTATCGAAGTCAACGGAGAACCAGTAACAGTTCCTAACAAAGGTCAAGGCCCTCCAGGTGCCATTCCTCTACCAGGTAGGATTCGACTGTCCGTCAACGATTATCGATTGCTGTAGTTGAATTGTGTTGTGCTTTTTTGGTGAACATCAACGATTTATGTGTTGCTCATTGGGTTTTTTGGTTTTGTGTATTTTGATCATCGTACCTCGTATTTTAACATATTTGTAATTGAGTTGCAGTTTTCTAAAACGAGTAGTAATATTAATTTTAAATGTACGTATAAAAGTAGAAGTAGTTTAAATGGTGTTGATACACGTAAGTATACGATAATGATCAATCTACCCCTTGTTTAAGATGGTAGTATATTTAAGATTAAGTATTGTGAACTCATTTTTATCAGCTAAAGGTATATGTACAATGTATATATTTGATGTAAGCTTCCAAAGTCGTCAAAATATTACAGAAACATTGCTTATCATTTTATATGTTTACGGTGGTATCTGTCCATTTCTCCGATTTCGTTCTTCCGACTAGTTACCTTTTTTCGTCTATTCAAAATTTCAACACACATTAGCCTGAGTTCAATTACTGACATCAGTTTCCTTATCAATGCACTTGTTCTATTAATATCTCTCACACGTGTATTATTAAGTATACGAATTTACTATTCGGAAGTTGTACCGGTCGGAATATAGGCATCAGATTTTTTTATCAGAATAACGGCATAAACGGAAAAATGGAATCGGAATTTGGGTTTATGGTTGTCAATTTTGTATGTAACAATAAATGTGTAAAGCGAAAAAAATCATTTTAATTTTAACTCATCGATGTGCTCATATGTGTATAACATCGGTATGGTGTTTATTGTATTTCAATCATCATAAAATGTAAAGGACGATCGTTACACCATCGCCATCGCATTGGGATACATTGACATCATAATTCGGTGGAGATTTAAATTAATCTAATTTTTTTATCCACAGCTCCCGCAGCTTATCCAGGGGCAGGTGGCAACAGCAATGCCTTCGCCGGTGCCAGTGCCGGAGCCAGTGCCGGAGCCGGTGGCATCGCAGGTGGGCAAGGCCCGAGATTCCCCCCTCAAGGAGCCTACAACGGACCTAATCCAGCTGACCTTTTGAGCCAATACTTTGCCGCCCTTCAAGCTCAGCAGTTGGCTTTCCAAAGACAATTGCAGGCACAAATTGCCGCTCAGCAAAATGCGTAAGTACTAAAAGTTATGATGTGCATCGTAATAATAATATGGAGGTTTTTTAGTGTGTGGGGAGTTGTTTGGGGTGTTGGATTTCCACAAAAGATTTTTATCAGAGATCGAACGAAAATAATTCGCTATTTTACGATGGAAAATTATTACTGGCAACGTAATAACAAAATTACATAAATCGCAGTTTATTGAATATTTTTAAAAAAGTTTTTCGATAAGCTCGAACGCGCAACTATGTGCGCGGGTTTTGCCCGTAATCCGCGTCTATACGGAGAGTCGGAAGGTCAATCGGACCGGCTTTTCGATGCATCGATCATCAATTTTTTTTCTAAAAATACTACGTAGAGAAATAGCGAGTTATTTTCGAATTTTGTTGCAAATAGAGCAAGAAAATGTCTCGATCGTGTGGTGTTAGCACTTTATAAAAATTCCACAAATTTATAGTGACGTTTTTTGTATCTATATATTCTATACACTTCTCTACACCAAGCAGCGAACTAGCTGCGAAAATATTTTTATCTTTTCTCTCTAAAAAAAATAATCCTATCTCTCCATTGTAAATACACGCACACACTCGTGCAACGTGGAAATGAGATACGGTGCTCTACAAAAGCCAAAGCAAAGGTGAGACTGATACATGGTAAATTTTTGCACACTCTATCGTCATCAAAAACCACCGACATCACAGTAACAGAGGTGCATCGGGTGGTGGTGGCGGCGTTGGTGGTTCCTACGCCACCGGTGGGGCTATCATAACCAACTCCCAGGGACAAGTCGATCCGCAAGCTCGCGTCTACGTGAGCACACGGAGCTCGCCGGATTCGGCGTCGTCGGCGACGTCGATCTCAGGCGGCAACGGCGGAGGATCGGCTTGGAGCAGCGCCTCGCTTTTTCCTCATCAATCTCCTTCTCCTGCGTTCGCCAACAATAACAATATCAATAGGTGATGGATCTCTCTCTCTCGGACACGTTATTATAACGCATAAAGTCGTTTTATAATGGCCATTATATGCGCTACGAGCTATCGTGTTTTCCTTACTTTGTAATGTAACGAGCTCGAGCTAAGCCCGAGTCAATTACTATACGCTTGATTCACAGATACACAGCTTAACCGCTGCTGCCTTCTTTTTTTTTTATGCCACTTCGGAGTGGAAAAAAATTGTTCGCATGGCATAGAATTAATTACCTCGCGCGGCCGCCGCCGCCGCTGCTCGACGTTCATTACATTATATTACATGTATATAATATTGCCGAGATGCCTTATATATGTGTAACAAGGTTGCTGCACTGCAACTGCAGTTCCATCCTAATCTGCATGTTTTACAATATGTGAAGCATCAATTTTTCTCTCGAATGCAAAATCCATAAACTACACTCGAGCTGGCTATTTTATTTTTATTTTTTTCTAAATTAACTCTATATAATCACCGAGCATGTATAGCACGCACGAGCGCACCTTGTGTTTATCTACATGGACGCGCCAGCACGACCGACATTCGCTTGTCGAACGTAAACAGTTCCAAGCTTCGCTTATATACACACAACGTTATTAACTCTACTCCATAAGTGAGCTTTCAAATAATCATTAAAAAAAAAAAACATACAATGCTTACGATAATATGATATCATTGCGCTATTGAGCAGCTCTAAACAAGATTGGCCATGTATCCGTAAATCTGTTGTTTGTAGCATATTTAACGGTATTTGGGGAATGAGCCCCGTGCAAGTAGACAGCTATAACGTCGCCCCTCCCGCCTACGACTATTACTCGAGCAACTATCCTTACGTCGGCGTTCCCGACTATTCTAGCTACTCGTTCGCGCCGCCGATGAGCTTCGGCCCTGGGGGCTTCGGTAGCGCTGGACAGTTTCCCGCGGGCTACCCGGGCTTCGGAATGCCGCCTCCTGGATTTCCCGCGGGATTTCCGTCCATCGGGGGTGGAGCTAATTCGGCCACGGCCTCGGCGAGCATAGGCCCGGGTGGTGGCTATCAGCAGGCCGCAGTGAATCCAGTGAGTATCTGCTTTATACTTTTTTTATTTTTCGACCTCGTATGTGGCAAGTACATATAAATATTTCAATCTTTCCTCACAGCCGAATCCTAACTTCGAATCGAGATTCGGCGAAGCCATTCCAGCCAGCCCGGGCGGCGGCTCTTACGGCGTCTTCAGCAGCTCGAGCTCCAGTTCCGGCGTCGGGCCCGACGGCAAACCCGTCAATCACAAGCAGGCCACCGTAGCCGTCAACAACAACGGCAAAGTCAGCGTTCACACCGTCGGCGATCAGTAGAAGCTTCGAAGCTAGCTCTTCTTCTCTTATAAGATAATTATTTATGAAAAAAAGAAAAAAACGAGGTCTGATCTCGTTGACCAAAAAAAAAAAGAAAAAAAATGATAGAACTACGATGACAATTATGAGATTACAACAACTTCTTTATGCTGCACTACCGATGCTGATTTTCACTGGTGATCTGGTAGAGTTCGTAGATTCGGAAATATCCGGGTTGTCAGTTCGTCTACCGAAGATTTTATTGCCATGAACTGTCGATAGAGAGAGAAAAAAGAAGAAGAAAACTCGTTTTAGTACGTAGTAATCGTATGCTTTTGGAGGGTATTTCCGCGAATTCAGAAAGATCATGTTTGATCTGTTTGATGAATTTTTTTACGCGCGAGAGATAATAAAATCCGCGAACTAGGCAAGCATCGATATTATAAAGCAGTGTCGATACATCTTAATATATAGTATTTTTGAAAAATCGTGATCGAGTCCGTGTGAGTGTCAATATTTTTGTACGCGTGAATGATGATTATTTAAACTACTTCATAGTAATACTATTGTACAAAATGATAGTAAAAAAGATTAAAAAAAAAAAGTTTATAGCTTTAACTTTGAAAATGTTTTTTTTAAATAAAATTGTACGTAATAAATTGTACGTAATAAAAACGAATAATCGAAAGGATGTCAACCTTATATAGCAGGACTGAAGTTCTAATCATTGTTATCATTCCTCATTTTTACCCTAAGCGTATTATCAACGAGTTGGATTTGTGGTGACAAACCGCGTGAATCGATGAGATCGTGGTCGTGGTCCCGCTGGCCGATGCTGTCCTGCACCTGCTTCTGCAGCCGGTCGATGCCGTCGATCAAGCCGGCGCCGCTGGTGGAGTTGGTCGCCAGGCTCACCTTGACTCGGCCGTTCGAGGAGGTGGCGTCGGGGACCCGATCGACGACGATATTCAGTACGTTTCCAGTTGGAAGCATGTAGTTCACGTCTACGGCCTGTTGCTGTGAGCGAAAAAAAATGAATATTAGTTAATACTAGAGCTGACTACGTGAGCGGCTCTATCTATTTACTCTTTTCACTTCGTTGGCATCATCGCTCGGAGTAGTCACCGTCGACGTCTCGGCCGTATCGTCGAGTTTCAGGACCGGCAGCGCGACAACCGTCACGCACAAACCGACGATCGTGGCGAGCAGAGCCAGGTACACAACGAGCGACTTGGTGCGTGACGCCGTCATGGCGAAAATCGAACGAACTGCCGAAATTTTCATTCGGCTGGGCGCTCTTTATAAATAACAATGCGATCTAGGAAGAGGGGGGCTGGAAAAATCGGCGGAACTTCGTTATCGATCGGCTGTTGCTCTCTGACGCAATTGTTTCGTGCTCAAAATGGACCTCCACGTGGTCAATTGCAACAATAATTTTGATGATTTTTATTTTCAATGAGTCGCCGATTCCAAGTACATCTCTAGCTCCGCGACGAGCATGAAATAAAAGAGACGATCCTCCGCCGATGTATATAATCAGCCCGAATAAAATTAACTTGCGGATCTCGCGTGGTCGGCACATACTGCACAGGAGAGCGTTTAGCGTTAATTGCACATTTTATAAATAAATACTGCAGCTTTTATATACTCCGGCATCGACAACACCGAACTCCACCCATTGATTTTTCTTTCAATTCATAATCACGCGAGAATGCCGCTCTCGTTTCTCGAGGTAACTATAACAACTCCTCGGAGTTCCTCGCGATGCGCCTATAGATATATTTATTGACCAATACTACTACTACTACTTGCACATCTCGCCGCTGCGTGCGCACACGAGAGCGCGTTGGATAATAGACGAGTAAAAAAAATGCACAAACGAGCTCGAGCGAAAGAAGCGTGAATAGCAAATGAAGCCGCGCGCGCGAGTGTGGAAATGTGATATTAATTCTCGAACGCGTATAATATGCTCCACAAGGTTCCAGCTCCTGATGCGCTCGTTTCATTAATGAGATGTTTTCTCGTCTGTAGCACTGCTGCTGTGTAATCAACCTGGTAAAATTACAAATTCTATATGCTTGTTTTATAAGCACGTGTACAGATGTAAAGTAATTTCTTGGTGCACACTGATGGATGCTACGATTTAGTTATGCATCGAAGACGTCGTGTACTGTGCTGCGCTCGTTGACTCGGCAATCGTACCTGTTGCTCTGTGCGGAAGGTTGCCGTTGCTGCAGGAATAATTCGTCGCTCGGATTTGTCGTCGTTATTACCACGACCTATTCGACTGTAATTCCCGAATTCCTTCAAACAAGTGAAAGATACCAAGAGAACAGCATCAGCGACGAATTTTCAGGCTTCCGTCCCGGTTAGTTTGACTAATAACTCGAACAGACAGTCACATATTATACATAGACCGCAGGAGAGCGTATAATTGGACTTGCGCGGGTGCATTCATCAATTTCATCGTCGCGTGTCTCCGGCGACGCGCAGCTCCTCCTCGCGTGTGCTGCTGCTGCTACTGCGAGCACGTCATTCTCGTTATTTTCCCCGACGAAATGTCATCCATTAATCTCGGCGATACTCGCGTACGCGCATACTCCTGCTTCTCGCGAAATTCCAAAATTTATCTCTACTGTGGCCTTTTAATAGAATATACATTTACGCGCGGCACACATATTTTACTAAATAAGATGCAGATTTATTATACGCGCGCTCAAGGATGCAGGGCGGAATTTTCGACCCCTAAGGGCGTGTATGTATACGGTGGCTTGGGTTATAATTTGTCAACTCGACAAAGTTCATGTTTCAACCTTTACGTATTTTATTATTCATCTCTGTACAAGTGCAATATATTGTATATTTATATACGTTTGCTTAAATATTTTTAGAATTCTAAGGTCGCAATATATTTACATTCGGGGCGGGGAGTACCTATCTATACAATGCGGAGAGATAACATGACAATCTCCGAATTTTTTAGACGATGCAAGTGCAGATTTTTTTCAATGATTTTTTCAAAATCATCAATTTTTGTGTGCGTATAGTTATAATTTTTAATATTGATTTGCTTTGAACTATTGAGTATACACAAAAATGGAAAGATTTTTCATACTGACTAAAGTAATTTTTGTTTTTCAAGTTTCTTGACATCATGGAGACTGCATTGTAACTTTCGCTTTCGCCTCGATATCCATTCTTTCTTAATTTTTCTTATTTACAAAAAATTATAAATGATAAGTACAATGATATTTTTGGAAAAAATGCACGTCTCGGATGGTCGTTGACGCTGAATGAAAAAAATATCATTTTTCTTTCATTGCTTTGTTTGATAAGTGAGATCAACGCTTTGTTTTAAGCGTTTACTTTAATTTGTTCAATATCAACATAGTTAAAACATTTAAATAAAAATAAAAAATCTCGATATCTTAAATACTGTAAAGACTTTTGTTTTCTTAAAATAAGACATTAAATATAAATCACGATATACAAATATGTACACATACTCGTTTTTACAGTTAAAAATATTCACAAAATTCAACGAAAATTATCACTCACATAAACAATTGAAAACCATCTTTCAATTACACATGCAATATCGATATAGCTTCTCCAAAAATTAATCCTGATATCAACAACTTTTGGCAAATATGAATTTTTTAAATTCATTAGATATACATTTTCTATCTTTTTTAACATTCTAAGTGATATTTGTAATTTTTTTAAGCTCTCATTGAACTACTTGAATGATTAAAGTAGTTATTTTATCAATCATAACTATTGTGAACTCTGATCTTCGTTCATTGACCGAACAGCGAGTTCTCTTTCATTTTGGGTTCACTACGCTATCAACATACATTCTCATTTACACGTATTTGGTTAGTTGAACGTGAAACTCTTGTAGGCAGACGATTAGTTGACTGAAGGTGGGCCGCTCGTCCGGCGACATAGCCCAACAGTAGGCCATCATGGCAAACAACTCGTCGGGGCAATTGACCGGCTGGGCTAATCTGTAACCATTGCTGAGATACGAGATCATCTCGAAAGGATCGACTTCGACGTAGGGTTGTTGAGCCAGCGTCGTGAATTCCCAAAGCAGAACACCAAACGCCCACTAAAAATAAATGAACGTAAATGTAAAGAAATATCGTTCGTGTAAAAGTAATTTCAGTAAGCTGAGCGCAGAAGTTTATAAATTCCGTCTACACCGGTAGTAACCGGTCACGTTTATCTTTGTGTATACTTCCTGAAGCATTTTATTGTTACGCTATCGTATCGAGTAGCCAAGGAATTTATAAACACGCGCAGGGTGGTAAAACGATTTCTCAGACTACTTACCACGTCCGTAGCAGTGCTAAATGTTTTATTTAGCAGACTTTCGATCGCGAGCCACTTGATAGGTCGATTTTCTGTATCACCTAGGCATATGTAATCTTGCGGGAACAGATCTCGTGCTAGCGCATTGTCGGTGATTTGTACGCGTAGCTCATCGTCAACCCTGAAATAAATCAAAGAAGGTATAAAAAAGCTGATACAACAAACTCATGTTAAATATTTTCACGCAAAATAAATACTCACACTAAATTCCTGGCTGCGATATCGCGATGCACCAGTCGCTTGCGATGCAGATATTGCACACCCTTGGCCACTTGCAGGGCCATCTCGACGAGCTCCTGAGTGGTCAGAGCGCGAGTCGGTGCTCCGTCGCCGTTTCCGTGCTTGCAGCGCAGCAGGAAGTGCTTCATATTGCGATAATTCGTGTGAGGATAGAGCACGAAGGGCGAGCCGCGCTCCTCGATCGATACGCCGAGCACGGGTAGAAGAGTCGGATGATTCAGCCCATAGAGAGCCAGTCCTTCGCGCAGCAGCATGGCCATCTGAGCCTGGGACGCCTGCTCGGAGGTTGTCTTGACCAGTACGTCCCTGGGTGTGGGGGCTCCTTCCTCGTGGTAGCTGGCGCGGTAGACGCGACCGAAGGTGCCCTCCATCTCGATGCTCAATAAGCGAACTCGACATCTGCAATTGAGATTGTGCAAAAAATTAAATTTCGGAAAAGTTACTCCTTCTCTCTCTCTCTCTCTCTCTTGAGAGAGAGAGAGAGAGAGAGAGAGAGAGACGAGAGAGAAGTTTGTTCGCCGCGATTGATCCCAGACGGCTCGCGTAATTGCCCTCGAGAACGTACGTACAAGTTTCGAAAGTACGAATCTGCCCTTTCCCACAAGCATCAAATATGAAATCAAATATCCGTGTTACACGAATCATTTTTTAATTTCGCGATGCAAATGTCTACCGATTGGTAAGGGGCACAAACTGCACTCGCTTAGTTTTAAAGTTTTTTAACGCGATTTTCATTTTCTTTCAAATGTCAACTTTAACTGCGAAATGTACAAGCCCCTTTAAGGCTCTAATTAAAAAAAAAACAGCAGCAGCGTGTAAGGTAACTGCAATGAAAAACTTTTACGATGAATTTTCGCTTTGACAATTAGCGACACCGAGCGCTCGAGAGACTCTCAGAGGCGCAGGTATACATACGCTCATTTAACTAGATTTTTCAACAGGCTTGAGACTGAGAGAAAGAGAGAGGGAGAGAGAGTAACGCAAAAAAAAATATTTTTCATTGCTCTTAATTAACCTCAGGTTGGCAGTCTTTGACGAAGAAGACGTAAAAAATGCTAGGCTTTAACGAGATTTCTATTTACATATCGTACAACGAGCGCGTGAAAAGAGAATGTATAACTCTGATTTTCTGCACGAGTGTAGTTAAGTGAAAAAGGGTTACAATTTGTAAATAGAGACGACCGTGATTTTTTCCTCGTTGATTGTCAAAAGGCTTTAAAGTTAACAAAAGTTGATTAATTCTCGCTTTAATCAATAAAAGGTGAATTTTAAGTAAAAAACTGACCAAGGCTGAGCATCAATTAGAAACATGCATCTCGTTTCGATGATAATTCAACATTTTGCGGTATTTTATCTATACCACATTCGTACCGGCGAAGTTAAATCTTTGTTCTGCACTTGACATACATTTTTCATCCCCCCAACTCGTAGATATTTTCGTACTTATCGTAGCGAATGTTCGAGCAATTAGAGAAAAAAAATGCTCAAGAGAGACTTGACGGTTTTCTGAGTGGATTTTCATATTATATTAACAGCGCAGAGTGAGTCGTTAAGTGAGAGCATTTTTATTTCGACATTTGGTATAATTTTTAAATTACGACGTTGCAAAAAAACAATTTTTCATTGTAGTACGATTATAATAATTTAAAAACGTTTTCAAAAGCTCTCAAACACGTGATAAAATTATATGAACATTTTCTCGCTTACACTCTTTTTTTTCATTTTATCTCTGGCTTGCGGTGGAAAATTATTTTTTCCAACGACGAATAAAACGACGTCTCAGCGAGAGTCAATATGCAATCGGCAACGAATGGCAGAGCATACATATTCAACGCCGTCGAAATTACAATAACCCCTCTCTTATTTTTTTTCTCTCCCTCTCGACAATGGGATACCTCGTCGGCAGACAAATATTCGATTTCCTTTCGCGAGAAAAGCGGATGATCCTATATATAATATTTTACCTCTGAACGGTTATCTCCTGGATGCGCTCGTAGAGCTCTCGATTGGAGCGCTCGTCGATCCTGCGATAGGTCGTCACCGACGCCGCGGACGAGGCTGGCGGCGGCGTGTCCGGCAACAGGAAGGTCTGGGCCGGTCCTATGCCCGTGCCACGCTCCACGCTGCAAGCCGAGCCGAGTCCACGCGATTCCCTGATAAAGCAAGAGGAAAAAAATTCACACGTGCACACAGAGGCAAAATAAGGAGAGGCACGAAACGAAAAATCGTATACTCACTGGAGCGGCTCCCTGTGCCTCCTTGCCTTTTTATCCCTCACGTAATAAGCGGTCACGAGTACGCATATGGCAGCGATGAAGGCGCACGCACAGCCCACTGCGGCGTAGAACACCTGCCCGCCCGGGCTGATACCGGATCTCTCGACCGAAGACGAGGACGAGGACGAGGCGGACGACGCGACCGAGGGCGAGTACATCTCCTCGGGATCGTGGTACAAGCTCTGGCCCTTGAGGCAGATCTTCTTGCGCTTGAACTCGAGGCTGGTGGTGTTGCGACGCGTCAGCGACACGTTGATCCTCAGCGTGACGTCGATCTCGGCGTCGTACGGGCCGCAGTGCAGTGCCACGGCCCAGGTCTGAAGGCCGCCAACGGGAATCTCACCGGCGTCGGAGATGTTGAGCGAGCTCGACAGAGCCGTTGGATTGCTGATGTCAACGAAGACCGTGTACGGTAGCTGCGGAGAAAAACAAGGAAGCAAACGGTAAGAATAAAAAAAACGTGTCAATTGGCACAAAAACTCGTTTTTACACTGTTTCGAATGGTTGTGAGCCTGTGTGTGTGTACTCAGTGCACTGCCTGCCACGGTGCGATGTCATTACCAACGAAATGGCATGATTGCGAGGTTTGAAAAGGAAGCTGTTGCTGCTGCTGCTACAGCAGCGTATTTATCATATCATCGTACAATGTGAGAAATATAACACCTCGAGAAAAGAGATAATGACTGGCTTCGCGCGCACGTGTGTGAGTGTGTGCGTACGCGAAGGGATACGTGCCATTAAAATAAGTGCGTGGCTTTGCGAGATTCCACCTCGTGTGTATGCACAACAGTAGTGCATTTATACATGCGACTGTTATTATTACGACACTCGAGACTTTGGATGCGTTTTATTTTAGCATAATAGAAAATCTATGCGCGTCTATTATACGGAGGCGAGAAACGAGGCCAAGTTTCCCGGAAGCTAATTTTCTTCGTCTCTCTCTCTCTCTCTCTCTCTCTCTCTCTCTCTATCGAGGATGAGAATCCCGATGGAAAATAAAATAAAAAATAAAAAATGACGACAGGGAAAGGCGGAGTTGGATGGCGGATATCGCGTCAAAGAGAAAAACTCCGATCTCGGCTGCTGCTACGATTTTTCACTCGCGATAAATAATTGTCTCCCGTCATTTATTTCATTTATTTTTGCAAACGATTCATTAATCAAATCGATCATCATTTCCGCAAATATTTATGTGTCCCACATAAAGCGTCGTGATTAACGATATACACTTGTCAAATATTTATAAAATCGCACGCTGTAGGCTCTCTCTGCTAGGAACGAGGGGGAACAATGACGAATACCGACCGACACGGGCCTCTTTTGTTATAACGCTGCAGCAATTTTTACCTACAACACACAGACGCGGGTAGCATTTTGAGTGTACGTTTTGCATCGTATGTGCCTCTTTTTCTCTCTTTTCTGACTTTTTTCCTCAAAAACGAAAGAGAAACTTTTGTGCAGAGACACACACACACAGACACGTTCTCGTCTGTGCAGATCACGAGTTTGAATATTCATTCCTTAGCAGCTCTCCAAGGTGTCCCCGGGACTAAAGTTCCTTTCACGTATTTAACGAGTTCGTAGAATATCCATACATAATACCACGTCCCGAATGGCGCGCATATAGCAGGACACACCAGACCTTCCTTATGATTTTCGATTTTTCTTCTAAGCTGCAAAGTGTGAAACTTGAGGTGAACGACAGGCGATTGCAAAATTTAATTCGATTGAAAAATTAGGGGCTTTAAGTTGATAAAGAAAGTCGAAGAATGATCGATCGGATTAATGCCGTGCGCGCTCGCCCGACAGATTGAGGCAAGTCCATATCCCAGTTGCATCGTCGCGATGCCTCGAAGCGGCGCTCGAATTTATGTATTAATTTAGAAGAAAGGTCGTAAAACAATCCATGTCACCCGAAGCTCGGCCCGGCGCGTAATATATGGAATATTCAATTTCCCCGATGCAGGGGCAGAAATCGAGAGAGAGAATATCCGACAATTTACCGAAAAGAGAGAGAAACGCGCGGAATCCTCGAAATCGTCATAAAAAGACCGTCGAGAGAGACGCAGGGAATAAATCACTCCCCGCCGCGCGTCCGTCCATCCTCCTGCGCTGCCTTCCTCGTTTTTTCGACATTCTTCGCTTTTAGCAAATCCAATTTGTCGCGTATTACTCGCGATAGAGGATTTCGTTCTCGTGTATAGCCCTTTTTTTTAGCTTCTTCTTCCTTTAAAAGTGCGTTAAGAGAGCTGCAGAGAGCGAGAGAAACGCACGCCGTGGGCCCGCGCAGTGACGGACAGGACAGGAGCGCGAGGTGACGGATGTTGGGCCTCCCTTGGGGGAATGCGCGCGAGAAGAGAGAAGAGACAAGTCGTTCGACCACTTGAGTAGCAGCGCAGCGTACCGGTAGCAGCGATGCTGCTATACACTGCATATAACACACATGCTCAATTGACTTCTTTTCCCTCATTTCTCCCTCGTTCTTTTCTTTCTTACATATTCGCGCGACGCGTGTGCACGAGCTCGACTCTCTCGGCTCTGTGTGTGTGTATATTATGCTGTTTTTTACGTCTGCACCTTTGCCAGGAACACAGGATGAGTCAATTCGCGGCGCTCTGTTCAGTGGGAGAGATAAGAGTCGAGAAATCGACGCATTCGATAGGTACATAAGAGCGAATGTAAATTGAGCGAGAAGAAGACGGGCGATAAAGATTTCCGAGACTCTTTCGAAGAATCCCGCCTGAATAAAAGTCTCTTTCATTCGCCAGAGCGCCAAGTCGTAATTTTGAATGAAAAACTTTTCCTTCTTTAAGGAGATAAAGAGCGCCCCCGGCCCTGACTCATGACAATGGACTCTTGGTGCCAGGCCAAGAAAATTTGTCCGCTGCGCGTGCAGCTAGACTACTTACGAGGCGAGTTCCGGACGATTATCACTACCGGTCGAATTCATTTATTCGCTGCACTCGAGGCACTTATTTTACGAGCGTAAAATATCGAGTATATAGAATTTAAAATACGTTAGACACAGAGTAAGCAATTTTTGCCCTTTGAAGCCAGCAGCAGCAGCTACGCGTCGAATGCAGTTCGTCAATGTTGCGCGCGTTGTTGTGTTTGCTCTCTTGCTGAGCGAAGAAAATTTGCATGTTGTAAAACTCACGACGCGTGTGATATACGGGGGCGCGCTAGTTGGTTACGCTTCGCAGACGCCCGAGCCCAAGTCAAATAATCGGTATACACGCGCGCCGAGCTGAGCCGAGCTGGGCGCTCGGCTGTTAGCTTGTTTACGAGTTTTGCTGCTGCGCTGCCGGGAACGACGAGGAGGAGGAGGAGGTGGATGAGGAGGCAGGCCTCGTCAAAGTTTTCCGGAACGGAAAGCAAAACACAACTATACACTACCATACGCCCGGTATAAGTGGCTTATATGCTAATTGCTCGCGACAGCTAGACGGGGCACACATATTGTACTTGTCAACGCGCGTGTATATAACGTAATGCAGTAGCAGCGGTAGGACCAATTTAATTCTGATTACTTATTTACATGCAGTCAAATCGAGTCAAGGTGCACACTCTGGGGTTAATATAATAATTTATTTATAAAGTCGATAAGGCTTACCGGTCGACCGGCCAGATTTTCCCAGGTAAAGTGCAGCTTGTCCAGCTTGGCTGGAACTGGAACGACGAACTTTATGGCGTACTCGTTGATCACGCCCTCGCGCACGTAGAACAGCTCGGCGTTGAGTCCTGCAAAAATACAACGAGAAAATATCGTTTTAGTATAAAAAAATATTTATGAAAAAAAAATATCGCAGCGTATATATTGTGAAAATTGAATTTTAAGCGCGCTCAAACTCGATATATAAATATGGTGTCGAGGCTGCAAGAGGCAGCGGTCAGGACATCGTCGAACTACATTTACCTCGGCTCGTTCGGCCCTTCGCAAATGTGTCGCTACATACACATACACAGAGACGTTAAATTGCACACACGGGAGAGAGCGTATATATATGGGTAGAGAAGCTGCGGTAATGGCTTCGATGCCGGAGCTTAAATGACATTACTATACGGGCCTTCGTGCCGTACTGCCTCATTGACTTTGATTATATATAACGGTTATATGCTCGTACACACAGACAGAGATGCATACAGATTCCAAAAATCGAGTATCGATCGACGTGGGCTGTACGCCACTGCGAAACTAGCAAATAACATTTTGATATTTTACAGAGTTGATGGTACGTACGTAGGTACGAAGGCGAGAAGAGAGAAACCAGAAGCTGCATAAGCACGAGCTGCACGATATATGTATATCACCGACGCAGACGATGACTACGCTACATATGTATTTGATTTACTCGCTAACCCGTCGTCGACGAGAAAGAGAAAATTTGCAATTACATTTTTTTTCGACCCAGGAGGAATATCGGCTACTAGCTGCTGGGATGATTTAAAAATCAATATGACGAATTAACTTATGGTAATTTTGCCTGAGCAGTGCACGCCAGATGCCACTGTGCCATATTCGCACTGCGAGATAGGGTCCCTAGCAGGGTGCCTCTGCAACACCTCCTGGAGAACAGCATTATATATTTTAATTGACTGTCAAGATGCGCGCGATGCCTCGAGGCGATAGGCGCAGCGGCAGCGAGTCGTGTTACTACTATTTTTGGAAAAAAGTGTCACTTACTCACATGGCGCGCATACGACGTTATTATTATCTATACTTGTATAAGCATAATATATCCTTCGAGCCAAAATCTATATATTATACACACGTAATCTTCTGGAATAATCTCTTCTAGGGCATATATATACACAGCAGCGCGCACGACACAAGCCAATATCTCGCGCGCGTCGCCATATAGCAGGATATCGGATATCGTGCGCGCGCGTGTTAGTACTGCTATACGGCGTGAAAAAAATCCATCCTGTAATAACAATTTCGTATACGCGAAGCTGATCTTTTTTTGACGTATATGCATTACGCACAGACACACGCGGACACATACACATGCATTCACACGTGTGGCGTATAAGGAAGGATCTCAAAAGTAAATCTCTCATTCTCACCATGAGCGAGTCTACTAATCCTCGCTGCAGCAGCAGCAGCATCGATCGTTATCGCAAAACGCTTACTACGTATGTATGTATATGTACGCTCGTTAATTTAGCGTCGTCGTGAGAGGCGCGCGCTCACACACACACATATATATATTTTATTAAGGTTCCACCGAGGCGACGCGAGCGTCGTTTTAAATAATATAATATAACGAGCTATGCGCCTCTATGTATATGCGACTGTAAATCTAGAGAGGACCGGTTCTGCTGCCTTCTTTATGAAGTTCGCGCAAAAGGAGACGTGTTTTATGTACTACTCTCGGAGGAAGGAGTGCGCGACGACGACTACGCATGTGTGAGTATACGTGTGTATGTGTGTGTGTACAAGGTACGACATTTCGCGCTCTCGCGTCAAGTTTTATTATGTTTTGTCTGTCTGTGTGTGTGTGCAGTATAATGCCAACGCGTTAGCGTACAGCTACTATAATATGTATTATGTATAGAGAACAACACACGAGCTGCAGCAAGAGGATATTTTAGGAAAGATTCGGATCGCGGATTTTTATTTATGTGCATTATATATGAATGCGGAATGTCCGAGTGTGCGCGAATTATTCAATGGTATATATAGTAGTGGAGAATGCAGATAATAGCGCGGCAATTTTTTGCTCCGCTTCGATCAACTCCGAACGCTCTGAGAAAAAAAACCTTTCAATTAATTTCAATTACCGTTTCGCGCGAGCGTAATTTACACGTTATGTATACTTGATATACTTGATACAGCGCGAGGTACGTTGCGTTTCGTATCGTCCCAGTGGTTAAAAACCTCGCTCGTCGATTATTATTTTCCATACAGCATAAACGATCTATTCACAAGGCTCTGCTGCCGTTGCATCGAGAAACGGCAGAAGCAGCGAGAGCAAATGAGAGAGTACAGTAGAGAGAGAGAGAGAGAGAGAGAGACAGAGAGAAAGATGGAATTCATATTTCGTAATCCCCGCTTATTGTTATCGCTTTTCTCCACGCACGTCTCCGTGCGCACGCGTGTATAAATATTCATTGAAAGTTTTCTCCCTGCCTTATAGTTCAAATAATATAATAACGCATATACACGCGCGCGACGAGATAAGTTTCAATTAACTGACGAATGAGAGAAAGAGCGAAGAAAAAAGAAAGAGTGTCGGATACCCGTTAGAGTAAATCACCGCCTGGCATTGTTATAATGTACGTGTATCTCTCGTCTGTAGCGACAGATGCGTGCACGTATCGCTCGAGTTATGCAATTTTTGCTCATTGTGCAGCGCTTTGTATTCATACAATAAATCTGCGGCTTATATGCAGCAGCAAGGAGACAACAAGAGATAGAGAGTTCATCGATCGCTACGTGACCCGAAACGTGACTTTATTTCGAATTGGCGGCGTCTCTGTGTACCGACGAAAAAATCGGGATACACTTAGGTGTGTAGGTGTATTATATACCCGTTGTATAGAAATCGAGGCGCGCGCGACCGAGTTAATAAGCTCGTCGGTGATTTTATTGGCTGGCAGTATCAAAGCCGAAACGAGGCATTTGTGTCATAAAATTTTTGAAAAACTCGATCGTCCGCAATAAAGAAAAGCGCGACGATCGCAAGATGACAAAAAAAGCGAAGCTCAAGAGTAAGATGATAGGGAGATGATAAGTGCGCGCAGCAGCTGCGATAAATCCGCACGAGTTCGCAGTAGTTGTCACGAAATGCGCAACAAAACTGTCGATGCGCTCGCGTGTAATTTTTTTCTATACGCCAGCATACACGCAGGCCGGTTGTAAGAATTTCTTTTGTAAATCCTCCTAAGCGATAAGTATTGAGAGCTGTGTGCAGTACAAGAGCGCAGAGCGTGGCAGGTGAGGGAAACGAGAGAAAGAGATCGAGAGGGGAATACACTCCTCCAAATTCCCCTTGACCTTCTTCTCGCTTCTTCTTCTCGGTTTCGGTTTTTAAGATCGAGGGCTGGAACGTACGAGCTGGAGATTCTCGAAAGGGTTTGATATAAAACTTCGTCTCAAAAAGAGAAGGCAGGAAAATTTATTGTTGCGCGATCGGTGGCCGCGATTACGCAGCAGCAGCAGTCCTGCACCGTCGTCCACGGTTGACAGTTGAATTCTTTACGATAATGCACGTATATAATATAATGTACGAAAAATCATATCTGCTTTAATATCGAATTGCCAATACAGTACACAACGCAGCGTGTCCGCAAACATGGAAAAAGCGATAAGAAATAAACGCCCTAGAGATGTGTGTTATAGCCTGCACTATCCCATATTATTATTACACATGTATAATATAAACTAGCTGCAGCTGAGCAAGAAAAGAGAGAAAATTCCGTGCATGCTCAGTCCCGGCTCGCGTCGAGCTTCGCGCGCTCGCTGCAGTTTCTTCCTCGATCCTTCTCTCTACTCTACCTTTTATCTCTTCTATACTATCTTTTTCTCTCTCTCTCTCTCTCTCTCTCTTCGCTCGGCCGTGTCCTTCTCTCGCTCTGGCTCTCCGCCTCCGCTGCCTGCTGCAGTGTGTGCATGTGGCTTCGCTCGTTGTGTATATATTCCTCTCTTTTCTCTCACTCTCCTTTCGTATATACGTATTGCCCATGCGAGCGAGCGAGCGAGCAGCGAGAGTATCTGATAGGACGCCTTAACAAGGCACGAGTGAATTTTTTAGTCACCGGAAGACAATGCGCTGTTGCTTCTGCTGCTGCTATATTTGCTCTGTTGCTGGGTGCACTATACCTTTTCTGTCTCTCTCTTTCGCGGTCGTTGTTGTGCGCGCAGCATGTGTTGGTGTGTATAAGTGTTTGCCGAGCAACGGATCGCTTGTTCGTTCGTTCACTTCTCTCTCTCTCTCTCTCTTTCTCTCTTCTTGTTCTCTCGCTTCTTTCTCTTACCGGTTTTTCTGTATCAGATACATATACCTTCCTATAAACCGATACTGCTGCACACAGCCTTCGTCTTCTCTCTTTGCTGCTGCCCACGACCCCAAATACTATATAGAAGACTTTGTTCTTCGAGCCTCGTCATTCGGCCTGTGCTGCTGCTGCACACGTTTGACTTTTTTTCCTCTATTTTCATCTCCCAAGTCCTCTCCTCGTTGTGTTTTTATTTTACACGAAGGAGTGTATAGTGAGGGTCTTTTCTCTCTCTCTCTCTCTCTCTCTTATATGCTTCTCTCTCGAAGCAGCAGCAGCGAGAGGTGCCCTATGTCCTCTGGCTTCGTGCAATCGAGAGAGAGAAAGAGAGAGTGAGAGAGAGAGAGAGAGAGCAACTCGTGATGTCGTTAAAGACGAGGTTTGTGTATTTTTCAACATGAGAATAGGTGTGCTGTATGTGTAGGATGTGTAATGTGATCCGGGTGCAAGAGGTAAAGTTGCAAAATAAAAAAAGAAGAAGAAGCTCGCTCGCTTGCGCGCGGAACTCAGCTGCCACTTGCAGTAAGAGAAACTGCCCGGGAGAGATTGAGTTTTCGGCGTGTGGTAGTAGTTTTTTTCTCGCGACAAGTTCGAGAGAACCATAGTTTGGTAACGAGGATCTGATATCGCGTGTTTTTTTTACGACGATGAGATTCATAATATTTTTTTATACCTCGCCCGAACTTTCAGCGTGGACAAATTCTCCATTTCAACGCTGCCGCGTATCGTATTCGTTTTTCCTACGAAATTCCTCCGAGTTTAAATTCGAGGGGTATATTACATACGTACGCGGATTATCGCGCCGCGTCTCGAGCTGTCAATCAGCTTGCTCCTATGTTATATGCGCGCGAAGCAGCAGCAGCAGCAGCTGTGTGTATACTGTACACGTATAATATGCACTGGCATAAGTCACTGGGCAAACAAGACTACAACACAGTAGCCTGCCCGTGCACGTTAAGTTAAATAACCGGCCCCGTGTGCTATATTACGAAAGTGACGCGAGGCAGCAAGCGATTAACTCGGCAGAAAATCATCGATTTCACGCTTGCACACGGAAACTTCTTCTCTCTTTCTTTTCTTCTTTTTTTTTTTTTTTTTTTGCTTTTCGTTACCTCTTCCTTTCAGAGAGCTCGGCTAAGCCCCGTGAGCATGCAAACACCAATACAGAGACTCGCTACAATAACAACGGCAAAGAGCCTGCAGGCCATTTATTCGATCAGGTTTATTTTATAACGCGCGCGTGAGCGCAACCTCGCACACACATACACACTCGCGCGCGTGCAGGTAAGAATATAAGAAAGAAAGAGTAAAGGTTAAACACACATTTAGGGTCTCTTCGTCGATGCACAGTGGCGATAGGTTGCAATTAACCGCAGGACCTCTTTCTGCGCGATGAGCCAAGCCAAGAAAAGAGAGACAGAGAGAGAGAGAGAAAGAGAGAAGTGAGAGTGCTTCATTAGTCTTTTAAAAACGAAACGAGAATAAAATTTCAAACCAGGATCCTGCTGCTGCTGCTGCTTGCTGGCTGTGTGCCTCGCGTGATGTGGAATAAAACATGAGACTCGAGGGAGCAAGTGTAGATGATCTTTATGTTCACGGACGAGAAAAGATTCTCGCGCCTCGTTAATTTAATTAGATAGGCAGAATAAGAGAGAGAGAGGGACGTGGCGAAGGTGAAAATTAAGGATATAAGAGAGAGAGCGAGATTTGCATAGCCGGATTACTGCTGTTGCTGTTGCCGCTGCTGCTCTTATAATCTCGTCGTGTCTCTCAACGAGCGGACTGTGTTTTTACAAAGTCCAGCACGGGTGTGAGGTTTTATGTTATATAGGAATTTAAACGAACTTAAACTCGGAAGAAAATTAAACGATCACCTCGTCTCGCGTGCACAATACATTTTGCATAAAATAATGCGTGTAAATTCAAAGACACGCGCGTAACTGTACAACGCGATTCTCTCAGCGTTAACGCTGAGAAAAGATCACGTACTCGTATACGTTTTAAAGAGCTCGAGGCCTCCTCGCAGCAGCACAGCAGCTACGGTGCGTCTTTAATCAATCCCGAAAACACACAAGTACTCCGCGGGCGTAGAAGCGTACGCGCGGTAAGGTATGAGCGCGCGGACCGAAGCTTTGACGATGTTTTGCCGAGCCTTTGATGTTTCATGCACAACGCGCAGCAGCACCCTTACTCTCTCTCTATCGCGTGATATGGAGAGCCGGAAACAGCCAAGGCTTCTTTTGACTCGGGCGCTGCTGCTAGCTGCAACAACCCTGCAATGTGTATGTGTTATGTACGTGCGCGCAACGAGAGAAAGACAAAGAGCCAGTGAGGGTGGATGCTGCTGCAGTGGTTATGAGCGCAAAACTTCAAAGTAAGTGCATTGCTGCGCTGTTACTATTACTACTCAAAGAGCGAGCGACCATCAGCGAGAAATACCCCCGCGCACTGGCTGCAGTTGATGATGATTCTTTTTCATTCCTCAACTTTTTTCAACACGAGTATATGTATCCGTATCGCATGTGTACAAAGAAGAAGGTAACCGAGAAAAGCCTTTCACGGGGTTGCGTAAATGTATACATTTTTTTCTTTTTAATTAAAGACGTTCTCGACGGAATACCCAAACAAATAAGAAACGAGCGAGAAAATCTATCGACGCGTAAAACATTTTATGGACTGTTGAACTGCTCCTCGTGCGCAGCAGCAGCGACTGATGATATACAGCCCGAAATCTTCAAAATTCACTCGCTGACGTTTATACAGCACTGTGCGTGGCGCGCGTATTTTTTCCTTCGACTGCGCTCTGCGCACGTATACGATGTCTGAGTTGTAAATTTTATTTCACCCGTAGCGCTGTTAAACTTTTAATTACGCTCCGCAGCTTTCTCGGGGTGCATGCGCGCTTTATTCGAAATCTAAACGCCGCGAGCAAACTAGAGCGTCTTTGTGCGTCCGAGAGAGTAGCCGAGAATAATTTCGATGATAATAGGATTATACTGCCGCTATAAAAAATCACAATGCCGATTATTGTATTTCAGAGTTGCAGCAGACGTCTGTGTTTGTTTGTGTGCTGCGCACACAGAGGTCCCCGATCTTCTTTCATCGATGCCTCGATTGCTCGCGCGCTCGCATGAAAGAAAGCTTTTATTATATAGAAAGACCCGGGACGTTGCTTCTCATGGGGAAAACAAGCGAATCTATAATCGCATTATAAATAATATACACAACATCGCACCCGGACTTTCTCTGCTGCTTTTCGCTTGTCAACGAGGCAATGAAATTCTCTAATTCATAAGGGTGATATAACGTTTAACGCAAGCTTCCGGTTTGACACCTCTCAGGATACGATATTTGGAAAAATTACGATATAATATGCCCGGGACTCGTGAGCTGTGTAATCCTGTCGAGGGGAAAAATTCGGTATTAAAGGAAATGTACGGGGCGTGAAGTGTCAGAAGACCTTTTCGCAGACGCCCCTTGTATGCTGCTGCTGGGTCTGTCAAAAATGCGCGCGTGTCATTGAACGGCACGCGAGTTTCTTAAAAAAAATACAACAAGAGGAGGGTTAACACGATAGAAGCAAAGGGGAATGGCGTGGCAGCAGATGCAAATCGCAATAATAACGAGCGATGAATTGTGGAAACGACCGTGTGCGTATAATTTGAGAATTGAAAAACAAATGAACGTAAATTTGTGAAACAAGAAAGGATACTCGCGATACGTCGACTACTGGACAAGCAGATTTTGTGAATTGATAGTAACGAAATTCTAACATGTTAGTCCTTTACGACAGGATCGGATGTTGCATTCAACCATGTAACGTCCACTGCAATGCTATCTCACGTTGTGTAATTCTTTGAGTGAATGTGTGTGTTTTTTTTCTTTTCTCGTACACACGAAGATGCAATTTTTCATACAGTTCGTAAAGTTCTTTGATCTGGCCGCGACTATTATGATCCACGAGAGAAAGGAACGAAGACCGACTGGTATACAGTGCGTGTATACAAACAAATGTTATTTTCCAGTGTATCCAATTTTATTCTTAATCATACATCAATGCATTTTAGAATGGCACTAGAACCTTCTCAGCGAGTTTCACATGCCCTAGAATCGTATTTTTAAATTATTAAGTTCCTTGTTAAATTCCTTGTGTTAAAATATCATTTAAAGGAAAGTGATTATAGTTCAGTACGCAGATCGATAATGTAATTTCTTCAATAATAACATGTAATGCCCTACTGTTTACATCGATTCGTCTGAATTTCTCGTTCTACGATTCGTAAATATTATTAAATCTGAATTAGTTAGTCCGATATGTTGTAACATAAATTTAATACAGAAAGATCAATCGCTAACGAATTTATAATCGAGCAAGATGGAACCAAGTGAAAAGTTCAACTGTGGTGTCAGGTAATTTTATTTTATTTGAATCACAGTATAAAAATTTTTTAACATAATACTTATTCGTGTTTTAATTATTTCAGAATAAAAAGAGAACCCGCGCGCGTCGATGTGTCATTTACTGATAATGAGTACGATATCATTGACACGGCACTCGACGTTAAAGATTTTCAATTCTTCAAATTTTCGCAGAAAAATCCAGTAAGTTCTGATCATAATTGAATACAATTATGTGGCAAACATTCATTCACGAAAATGTTCATTTGGGTTTATTTTATCCAGGTACATATGCTTCAAAAGTTTGACGAAAATCTCGAAGTTGAACTTGACGAGTTGGCAATCGAGTTTGAATGTTAATATATGAAGCTCAACGTGGATTTATTAGCAGTTGCGAAAATTGAAAATTGTTCTCAAAATAACTCGCCGGATATGAAAAATAGACACGATTATCAAACTCAAGACAATATTAAAATAGAAACTTTGGGAGCAGTAAAAAATGAATCATTTGTGGACGACGCAAAACAATTGAATATGGATTTCTACTGTGGTCTCAGCGAGCCAAGTGAGGAAAACAGTGTCACAAAAGAGTTGATCGATGACCATAGACTCGAAACGCAAACCATAACGACGCGTAGTAGTACTGACATTGCATGCGAGATATGCAGTAAAAAATTCTCAAGGAAATATTGTCTCAAAAGTCACATCGTTTCGGTGCATAATGGTGTCACCCACGCATGTGATATATGCGGTAAGACATTTTCAACGAAGGGTTATCTAAAAAACCACCTCGACTCGATGCACAATGGTGTTTCAAATGTTTGTGATACATGCGGAAAGTCATTTGCTGCTAAAAGCTATCTCAAAGTTCACATCGATTCGGTACATAATGGTATTACTCACGCGTGTGATATATGCAGAAAGAAATTCACTGAAAAGAACAATCTCAAAAAACACATCGATTCGGTGCATCACAAAATCACTCACGCATGTGATATATGCGGAAAGTCATTTACCCAGAAAGGTAGTCTGAAAACCCACATCATTGCGGTGCATAAAGAAATCAAACATACATGTGATTTGTGCGGAAAGATGTATACTCGAAAGGTTTTTTTCAAAAGACATGTAAAATCTTCCCATGAGGGTATCAACTACGCATGTGATATATGCGGCAAGGCATTTAATGATAGCAGCTATCTAAAAATCCACATTGACGCAGTGCATAAAGGTATCAAACATTCATGTGATTTATGCGGAAAAATGTATAATCGAAAGAGTGATCTCAAAAGACATGTAAAATCTTCTCATACGGGTATCACTCAAGAATCGGATACACGTGGAAAAATATGTGTGAATCCATTTGGTCTCCGACAACATGTCAAATCATCGCATCCAAGTTATATCTATGCATGTGATAAATGCGGTAAGTCATTTTCACAAAAGAAAAACCTTAAAGCCCACATGGTTATGGCCCATCACTGACGCATTGTTACCTGATAAATGTAATAAATTTATGTTTACTTGTATCAAAAAACCATGATGTATGATGTATTATATTTATTTAAAAAGACTAATTTACGTGTATATTTATGACAATAATGAAAATTCCTTTCGTGTTATATTATTTAATTACATAAAATCAACGTTCAAATTTTGAAAAAAATAAATAAATTTTTTTCGTTGAGAAGAAACTATACTTTATGATTTTATTCAATCTTAATATTACACTAGCCCCATCCAACTTCCGCATAGTACAATAAAATAATAACAATTTTACTAAAGATGGATTTATAACATTCAACGTACTTAGCTTTGTATTAGCGCGCGACTCAAAGTCAATCGTCAAATAGAAGAAATCTTTCCAAGTAATAATCCAAATATTGATCACAAAAATGACCCTTACTGAACTGCAAAGGTACGAGTTATAATTGAGTAAAATATGTAGCAACGAGTTAAATATCAAAATGAAAGGTTAAACGTTCTTAATGAACACGAAAAAAAACAAAAAAATAACCGTGTAACGATCGTTGAACAAAAGTAATTCTCACTCGCGAGCGCAGGTCGACGACCAGACGACGATCATCGCGGATAGATCTCACACCTCAATTTCGTACGATATAAAAGGTACACACTTTAATAAAAATGGAGCGCAAAAAAAAGGAGAAAAATAATATTCGTACAAAAGGGCATGGCACGTATAGTAGCGCAAGACGTTGCAACAGCAGCAGCAGCAGCAACGTGAAATCCCTACGATGCTCTGTGTATAGACGCGAAACGAGAAAAAAATACTTCCTTCGGGCTTTGGGTCAGAAATCCAACACCTCGGCAGTTTTATATATAAAAGCGAGCGCGCGAGAGCCAAGAGAGCGACGACGGAGAAGGTAAAGGTACACAAGCGCGCTTACTCACTTTTTTCAATGTGTACGCCACGCCACAAGGTGTATAGGTACACAAAAGCAAGACTTCGCCTTGGTGTGTGTGTGTATGTACGTTTGTGTACGTACACACAGACTTTATATATTGGATTTACCACGTACCGACGCTCCTTCACAATGGTGAAGTCTTTTGCCCAGCAAAAAGATTCGTGGTGATGTCTTTTGTTGCCCAGCCATATTATAATAACACGCGGGAGAAAAGTATGGGTGTGTGCGAGTTAGTGCGCGTGTGTGAGCGTAAGCAAGCTCCGAAAATGTCTGTCAACGAAATCAATGCCCACATATAATAACGTCGATGACGGGACGCGTTATACCTGTCGAATACTTGTACTTTTAGGTGGTTTGCTTTTACTGCAAATAGGCTTTAAAATTTTCGTCGACACGATTTTACGCATCGGCTGCTGCTGCTGCTGCTGCTGCTGTCCCGGTGTGTAATAAATTGTCTTAAAGGTGTACACAGAATGTGCATTGAATGACTCGTAGTCGGAGGTAAATCGATCGATTGATATTCCTCGTGCGGGTGATGGTGTTTACCGCTGTAAGAGCGCGCGTACAGCTGCTAGTCATTTTTTGGATTATTCGCCGATGAGCAACGACGAAATCCAATTTAAACGCGTACTTTAAATCCGATCGATTCGTTCACGATGAGTACGTGAAAGCAGAGAAACAATTAAGATGTAAATGCATGGGAATCGAATTTGTTCGAGAAACTCTCGAAAATCTACTCATTTCCAGAATGTATGCAAAACATTTCGAAAAGTGACATTATTCAAATTACTATAGAAGCCATCGGGTATATGAGTTATACTAAATGCTTTCTACATCTTTCGCGGCAAATAATCATCATGAGTAGTACGAAACTACCGAAAATTTCAATCAAATCTTAATCGGAGCAAACGAAGTTTTAATTAACTTCTTACCCGAATTTAATGACTCTAGATCCATACGCTTCGACATTGAAACACACAGATTTAAATCACGTTTTATTTTCCCAAAAATCATACGTATGTAGCAGTAGTAAAATCAGCATTTCGAGAATTTCAAAAGAGACTTTGAAATCCTTCTGAATATATAAGACACGTTCGTATATGACACAAAGCAATCAAGCTTAAGTACACGCCATTCAGAGAAATGATTTCCATGCGAGCATACGAGAGTGACACATATATAGTCGAGAGAGAGAGAGAGAGAGAGTTCATTATTCGGTCGCGCACATAGTGCTCTACACATCAACAAAAGAATAATCACGTGCAAAAAGACAGACATTGCGGGCATCGATAATCCGAACCGAGTAGTACATGTATAGGGGGAGTGAAACACGCGCGTATCGATATATCCCTTTTGCAACGAGCTACGAGTGCACGAGACAGATGTATGGACTGATTGAGCCGTCGCGAGACACACACACATACACTCACACGATCGGGAAATAAAAGAATCTCTCCCAAAAGCGTAGCATTTATCGTGTTTGTCGTATCTTTCGCACGCGCCAGCAGCAGCCTGCGCCGCTTCTCTCCCTGCGGAATTCATATATATGGTGTATGTGTATAAGGCGCGGCTTGACGAATGGCCGAACGCGCGACAGAGAGCCACACTTTTTGCACGGGTCCTGCGTGAGCGCGTGCAGCCACATTGCTCCTTTCTCTCTCCTGATCTTGTGCTGCTAAATTTATGGACTCTCTTCGCGACTGCTTACTTTTTTATACAACACACACACAATCGCTCGCAGAATCGGCGCGGAGACAACTCGGCGAGAGAGAGTAATCGAGAGACATGTTCTCTCTCGGTCGTCACGAGAGCAACCTTTTATTATTCATGAGTACTGCAGTTTAGTGTCTGCACTTGGCCGTTAAATGAAGTCGAGATCATCCCATTGTGGGCGATACTTAAATCTAACTTCTTCTTTTTCTTGCCTGGCGAATGCTGCATTTTTCAACGACTGACTAATGAGCGACGTAAAAAATAGCGCTTGAAAATTTTTTGAACGCGAAAACTTTCCAAACAACTACTACACAAGGACTCTTGAAAAGTGACGGGAAATTTTTTTTCATTTTCGATCGATCATTCTCGCTCTTGAACGCGCCTCTAATAGAATTCATCCCATATACGAAGGTTGTGTTGCCAATTGTGCGACGAAATCTACTTTCGAGCCACAAGAAGGCAGGTTTAGCTTGTGTCAAGTCTGTACCGTTTTATTGAGTCATTTACATTCGCGTAGCACCAGCAAGCCGCAGCAAGTTAACATCGAGTAGTAATTTGTATAATTCATTGTGCGCCACGACCATAAACCGTTTTACACACGATTCGCGCGCGCGCCTGAGTGTCAAGAAAGATTTTTTTTATTAAACGAGCAAAATAAACTTGTTAGAAGAGATGCGCGATTTTTACAGCCTCTCGCGCGGGGATCGTGATAAATTGAGCGTGAAAAATCAGTCGTTCGGAATAATATTTTCCCAGTACATTTGATAAAGTATATATTATGTTTGCCAAGAATGAGAGAGGGAGGGAACAGATTGAACTTTGCGCTCGCGTCGATTCGCGCGAAAGAGTGGCATTCTCTGCTATAACTCCAAAGATATACCCCTTGTGTCGCGTCGTGTACTGCACATATCATTTCTCATTTCGTTATCTGGCGCGCGTCTACCATGAATGTGTGTATATAGTACGTATACAAGAGTAGAGTGTGGAACGATCTCTCGCGTCGCGCGCGACTTGTTTACTATTCGCCGTATATACGCATGCAGCACGTAAACATTTTGTACATGTGCCAGTAAAGAATCCCTACGGAGTGAGCTCGAGAAAGCTGAATCGATCTGCCCGTGGACGATTTATTGGTTTATCTATATATGTAAGCAGCCCGAGTCAGAAAAAAAGATAGAGAGAGAAAAGATCGAGCTGCTATATGGATTCTGTAGCGAGCAAGAAAGACGCAGCAGGATACCGAAGAACAAGCAATGCTATATGTGTTTGAGAAATTTGCCATCTGCGTACTGCACACATATATACAGTGCACACAGCTATACGAACACGTACACACACATACGTATCTCGCTCCTTTTCGCGAACGAATTTTAAGCAGTCCCTTATATACACTACTGCTATACGAACTGATCCAGCGGGATTTGCCTCGTGCATGAATACGTGTGTGCGTGTATCTCTTTTTTTCTTCTTCTTCTTCTTTTTTACCTCGTCTTCTTCTTCTTCTCGTTCGGCGTCGAATTGCAACGCGCGAAACTGAGTTTTAGCGACTCACGCGCGCCTATAAGAAAGAAAGAGAGAAAGAGAGACGCAGCCAGGTACAACTTTACGTGTTACAAGAGATAATGTCGAGTCGATAAATGGGAAGGTAAGAAGACACATGCACGTGTTAGCAGTATACATCCAGAGGGATTTATTTAAGAAGTGCTTGTGCTGTTGCCAGGCTTTGAAAACTTATTCTCACTTTGAATAAAAAAAAATTGAAAGATATACTATTTCTCCAAAAGACAATATTGTATGTCGATGTATAGGGTATTAATTTCAACAACCTGATCTCGCTCGAATAGTGATTTTATATCGTTAGAGCTACGAATTCTAAAAATATGAAATACTATTAGATTATTGACGCGATTGCGACGGCTCTTGGTTTACTCACGATTGGATGAGATCAAAAATTCTACCAATGATGCATGTACTCACCTGTAACAAAAAATAATCATAAATTAGTACAATTGCAAAAATCTGCATATTTTAATATATTATGATAATTATATTAAATTAAAATGACCAAATTAAAGAAATATTTCACTATACATTAAAGGCATTCCTCAAATTGAATAAACAAGTAGCTAGTCAGCAGACTTTTAAGTGTGTGACAGTTTAATTCGTGATTATTTTGATTTTTGAAGATCTGAAACGATTAGTAGACGAAAAACTTGAAGTAACCAATTCATAACTTCTGTAAGAAGTATTCACGATGACTAATACTTTCTTGGAGTTGTCGTAGAATCTTAACGACGTTAATAAAGTAGTCTTGCTGCACTAGATTTTCTAAACGACTCAGGACATACGC